TATTGATCCAGAGAGGTTGTTTTTGGATAAGTCTAGCTTCTGCAGCTGAATCAGACTATTAAGCTCAGAGGGAATTTCTCCATGTAATTTGTTTCCAAGCAAATTTAGGTATGCCAGGTTAGAAAGATGACTCAAAGCTGTAGGAATTGATCCAGATAAACTGTTATTGGCTAGGTTCAGAATTTTTAATGATTTAAGAGACCCCATAGAGGAAGGTATATCTCCTTCAAACATGTTGTTTGATGCTGCAAAGTTCTGGAGCTCTTCACAGCCTTGAATCTCTTCAGGTACTAGGCCACTAAGGCTGTTCATTTGTAAATCAAGAGATATTAGATGCTTCAATTTACCAATCGCAACTGGTATGCTTCCATTCAAGTGGCAGTATCCTATTGCCAAAGCTGTCAATTCACTCATATTGGCAATACTAGGTGGAATTTCACCTGTCAACATGTTGTCTCCTATTCTAAGAATTTGCAACTCCCTCAAGTTACCTATCTCTGCAGGAATGTTCCCGGAGAGATCATTGGAGTATAGGTGCAATATTCTTAGATTTTGAAGCTGACCCAGCTCTGAAGGGATGGAGCCAGAAAGAGAATTTGAAGACAAATCAAGTGTTTGAATAGAAGCGAGGTGACTGAACTCAACTGAAATGGAACCAGATATTCCTGAACCAGACAAATTCAGGCCAATAACGTGTTCCTGATCAACTGCACATGTTATTCCATTCCAGTTGCAGTAATGAGTTGTTGGAGACCAGTTGCCAAGTGCTCCTAATGGATCTACCAATTCTGATTTAATTCTGAGAAGCCAGTAGGAATCTGTTGCATTATTGGCCATAGTTGCAGTAAACGAAGTATCAAGTATGGACAGTAACAGAACGCAATGGCAAATCCAAATGGAACCCATGGCAGAATGTCTGACGGGTATGAGTTTCATTTCCAAGGTTCAGACAGAAGATCAAATGATTCAAGACGTATGCTCTAGGACAAGGAGGTCCATTCTGTATAGAAGAATAGTGAAGAACAACTAAAAGGGCTCAAATTCTGATGGGTATGAAATGCAAATAGAAAAAAAAAAAAAAGAATGGGAAATGAAGGAATAATGAGCAAAGACACAAGTCAAAGTGCTAATTGGATGTTAAGATACGGCTTTAAATAGTACCAAAGTAAGCCCTGCCTACTTTGTTTAATAAGAAAGTTGAAATAGTACGGACATGAGATGTGTGTGTGGTAAATGAAGAAGTTCAACCTATAATATGTCTTAAAAATGCAGTGATGCCTTTCTACTTCTACCTTTTCAGTTTAACCATGGATTTGGTGCCTTTTCACCCTTTTTTTTTCTCTAGGCAACAATTGTAATATTTTAAGATTATGTAGTAGCTTTTGTGGTAGGGAACTAAAAAGAGAACAAGATAATGCAATAGGGTATGCTCAACAGAATTATAGAACAAGAAGAAAAAGATCCCCTCATGGCCGAAAAAAAAGTGACACAAGTGGGGCCACCTTTGTAATCCTCAAATTTTGTTCACGATACAAGTTCGTAGTATCTTCGAAGTAGTTTTTTGTAAGACATAAGAGTTCAAGAAAAAATGTTTGAGCACGATTTGACTTTACAAGAGTACCACTGGTTTAAACTTCAAAAATTGTCAACTAAATTGGTACAAACACATTATGGCAATTAGAATGGTAAGATTTCCCTCAGAATATTCAAGCATAAGATACGAGCATGTGGCATTACTTTCAGCTTGCCATGATAAGATTCTTCAAGTTTTCTTAAAAAGGAAAAACCAAAGGCCATAAGATTTCAAGCATGCATATGATGAAATATGAGAAAGTTAGTTTTCATAATGATACTGGGAAAAATGAATAAGGGTAAAAGCACAGGACAATGTGTTAGGTTTCTCCATTGTCATCTTCCATGTGTGCATTTCTATTATTCAAGGATCAAACTGATCAGAGGGTTAAGCATATTTTCTTCTCAACCTAAACGACCTACTTCAAAATTAAATATGAGAAGAAAACATAGAAGAAAAAACAACCACATTAGTTTTGGTCAATTCCCAGCTTCACCAATTCTTCACGTATGGATGTCCAGAATAAAAGCCAAAACCATGTGAGGTTTGGTGCATTATACCGAATAGTTTATACACTAAAATTACCTTGCATTATCCTAATTGATTCAATGAAGTTATAAGGATGATAGTCTTTGTTTCATATATTACAAGATTCGTGATAAATGCATATAAGCCAAAATACATGAAGACAAAGTGCCTCAAAATCTTATCTTTCATATTCAGCTCCCTACTTAGCTTTCAGTGTTAGCTTTATACCAGCCACGCCTTCACCCCAGTTCCCCATGATTCAAGCATAAGCAACACCTCAAAAAGGAAACATTTTTATTACATCGTACTTAAAACTTCAATTATTTCATCAATATGACTCTGAAACCTTATTTACTTTATTTTTTTACAATATTCATCCAATTTATCATATATGACATGGATGTAAAGGGTGAATAGACATTCTTGTTATCTGCTTCGGTACTAACCCAATAGTGCTTGCTATCAATGCCATCTTTTTCGAGATGCTACGCTTTTTTTCACGCTTATGTGGTCACCTTGCACGTTTATTATTCACCTTTCAGCATGAACTTCTTACAGTCTAAAATTTGAAAAATAACATGATTCTAATTTGTTAGCTACATTTGCACCAAGTCCACATGCTGTTCATATTATATTTTGGTCAGTGTCAAAGCCTAGAAATAGAGGACCTTCGATAATGGCCTCAGCTACAAAGAATTTCTAACTTTTAGAATTTGATTGATGGCTTACAACCCAATCAGAGTTCTTCAATGTCTTTTAATTGCTACCTAATCTTAGTTAAAGTCTACTTTTTACTTGAATTAAAAGGAATAGTGTCATGGGGAGATTAACTACCCTTGAATAAAAAATGGAAGAGATGTTTATGTGTAAAAAATTTAGATTATGAAAAGAGATGCAGCCAAGGGAGAAGGTGCATTATTGCGGAGATCAAATATATAAATAAAGATTCAAAGCAATATCAGAAAACAACAATGACGTTGATTAAAAGAATATAAAAGATTGAGATTCTGCATTGGAATGAGTGAGTACGAATATATTGTTCCACGAAAAAACTGGAAATAAAATAAAATTGTTTTAATTGGAGACGGAAACAAAACTTACTGCAGAGAAGTCCATAAGTATTGGATTAGTGTTAATAATTATTTTAGTAAAAACTTCTTTTAATCAGTTTTATGGTAAGACTTGAATTCAAAATATTATTTAAAAGATTTGAATTGAAGTTTTGAAAGCTTTTGCATCATGCAGGATTCATATGTGAGAGGTGAGTTTGGTAGGGAAAAAGAAGTAATTCCATTAAGAAGAATACAAAGCAGATTGGGTCAGGGTTGACTTTGGTTAGGTTGGAGGCTGTGTATTTTGTTGGAGTTTTGGGACCAAACTATTTGTTGAACCTGCTTAGACCACAATTTTATAAAACAGTTTAAGAAACTAAAACAACTGGATAAGTATTAGCCATTATTTATTATTATTATTAGGGTCTATTTAGAAGGTCTTGTGGGAATAACCAAAATAATATAAGAAATAAATAAGACATTCAATGGAAATAAATTTATTTGATTTAAGAGAAATAAAAAAAACTAAGTAAATGAAAATATATGAAATAAAGAAAAAATAATTAGTAAATCTCACCATTTTTTTTCTTTTCTTCCTTTTTTTCACTTATTTTGTTTCTCTTCATCTATTTTATTTTATTTTTTTACCACTAGACAAAGGTTTAGGAGGGAAAAAAGCTTACTATACATTATAATATGTTTATTAATCTGATATATATATATATATATATATATATATATATATATATATATAGTTTAGAGTTAAGGTTAATGGGTAACTTATTCATATTATTTTCTTTAAATTAATGAGAGATACTCATTAAAGATAAAATTATAATAAAAAAACCCAAATATTAAAATGGATAATATCCCTTTAATAATACTATGTTAATAAATAACTCACATGTCAATTCTAAACCCAAACACACAAAATAAAGAATTCCACACGCCTGAAATAATGGCAAAAGCTTTCCCAGCGTATTAATCCATAGAACAAACACTTTCTTTCTCTCCTTCAATTTTTTTTATTTTTTTGACTCATTCCTATGTTTATTCACATTAATCAAATCTCAGACCTGTAAGAGCAATTGAACGTATGGTGATTAATTCACTTATTTGGATTGTTTTATTGAATTTATCTTTAAAAGAGTATTTCGCAACATTTGCAATTAAATAATAACTTTATCAATAGATGTTATTATATATATAATTTGTTGGTAGATTTGTGTCATCATGAATATTTATATTAATTAAAACAAATTCAATTTATCTTTAAAGACACAAAATCTATAATCTAAAAATAGTAGTCAGAAAGATCTACTGTAAAAGAATAAATCAACAGAATATTATTTTATAATAGGTTTTATCATCTCAAAAAAAAAATCTTACAATAAATATTTTAGTTTTGAGACTAGTATGCTAAGACTTAGGATTTTAGAAAAACCAGCTGATTGCCTTTCTGTTTGATTCTTAAACCCAATTTAATATTACTTTAAAACCATCAGTTTATATTATGTGTTCAACCACCAAGAAATCTTTTCTGCGACATTATTTGGTAATTATCTACTAAAACAAACTAGGGTTTCAATGGACAAACATACACACAGAGGAGAGGTAAATAGAACCAAACAAATAGTAATTTGCATGCTCAGAAATAGAATTTCATTTGTTTTTTCTGAATTGAAAATCTAGCCACCACAATCAGTGTTAAGCTAGCTAGAGAATCAATGTCTAACAGATTATTTATTATCAAAAAAACAAAAAAAGCAAGCAATCTCTGTTTGGCATATTCCCCCAAAGATGACCTGGGATGTGTTTGAACAGTGAGATGATATTGTTGACAAAGCCTACGCATACTTGGCCTCTCTGCTTAGTTGCAGAAGCAATCTCATCACCAAGGTTGAGAAAGACCAAATACATATCACAAAAAGCAAGGCAAGGACCTTTGAAAGTTTTTTCAAAATGGGTACAGGCGATGTGCTATAAAAGGACACATATGTTAACATAGCTGTTGCTCGGTGAATTTGCTGCATTCTATACGCCTGCGCATTAAATAATTTATTAGTGTGATAGTATGAATCAGCAGTTCAGGAGAAAGAATAAGAGTATTTGAAAGATAATTGGTCTTACTTGGAAGATAAAAGGAATAGCAATTCGTGACGGTGATTTCCATTTTCTTGCTTGCTTTTCAAATATGAATTGGGCAACTGAAGCAACCAGGTGTGGACCAACAGCCGAGGCAATGATAGGGAAAGTCCATTGCCAGGCGGAAGCCATTGCTGCTGCTGGAAGTGCTGTACCAAGCACCAGATTAACAACAGAAGAGATTTCATGTTCCAATTGTGGAGTCAGAGTACCACTTTTGTTTGCCGAATGTTCTGATTGTATGCTCCCAATTAAAGAGTTCAGTAGATAAAGAAAAACCCCAACACCACTGTAGAAAACTGATTCTCTGAGGAATATTATGGTGACAACTGGAGACCAAGAATAAAGAAAGGTTAAAGTAAAAGAAGGAACAAATGAAATGAAAAGATATCAAAGTAACAACATTCAAAGAAAGTAATGAGACATTCCAATGTTTGTAGATATTCCACTCAATGCTGTCAATATTGTAGCATGGATCATCAAATTCATCTATCTGCTAATATTATCCAAAAATTACTTTTACTTGAAAAAAATATAAGAAACAAAAACAAAATAATTTTTTATATAAATTAAAACTAACTCTCATTTTATTTTATGAAAAAATTATTCAATCAAGTTCTTTAAGTTTATTTATTACATGTACAAGATTGAACAATTCCTTTACTGGTTTTAAGTGTCACTAGTAAATTGAATAATATATATATAATTTGATTACCCAATTGTTTCTCATTCATTATTACCTGCTTAAATTTTTTGTACAAGTGAGGGGAGGGGGAGAGATCCGCAAACAGTGACTTCAAATCATTAAAAAAATAAAAATAAAATATTTTACATTAAAAAAATTCAGGTCAAGATTAAATGAAATTAACACACATTTAAATCAACATGTTTTCATGGTAATCATTACCACTATTTGTTATTCAGTTTGATCTATTATCAAATAAATATTATTTAGTTTATTTAAATTTTAATTTAATATAAAATTCAAATTAAATCAGATAAATACTCGTGATTAGTTTCGAATCAATTTTATATTTTTATTATACGTGATTATTAAATAATTTTTTTACAAAGAGTTTTTTTTTAAAGAATTAAATATTTTATAATTAATTTTTAAAAAATATATATCATAAAAATATATATTTGTATTTTTAATTTATCTTAAATATATAAATAAATTACATAATTTAATAATTAAAAAATACAAATATATTATAAATAAAATATAATTCATCTTATTAACTTTACTGAAGATATATAATTATGTGTATTTATTAGTCAAAAATTATATTTAAATGTTTAATTCAATTTTTAATTCAAAATTTAAATTAAATTATATGATTTTAAAGAAATAAAAAAATTAATAAAATTTTGATTTTATTCTCGTTTTTAATATCAAAATAAAGTTAAACATACAAATATGATAATCACAGGGTACTTGTAATATATACTTGTAGCAATACCACATACAAATATCAAAAGAATATTTTGTAATACCAAATCCTTCTCCCACCCCAGATGCAAGAAATATACTGCGCCTTATAAATGCTAAATCATGTATATTGCAGGAAAACCAACATGCCACAAAATAAAATTTCTTTAAAAGAAATGTTAGTCACTCACTTGTTAATGACGTGCGTCCAAACTTGTTAAGCAGTAGGTCACACAAAGAGGATGGAGGAAAAAGGAAAGAAGCAACTAGTACAGCAGGACCTATAATCCATGATATGCTATTCTTAGTCCTTTCTGAATCTGATAGAATGACTTTGTTATCTCTGCTAAATGCATGTTTACTGAATGAGACTACCCCTGTTTTTCCAACATTTTCTGATAAATGAAAACAATTTTGAAGATCACTGATTTGTGGCTGATTCCCAGAGCCAACAACAAGCGCAGTATGCTGGTATGATTTGTCTAACCATCACAAACAGAAGCGCATGTCAGCAGAGACCACCTCAGAAAGCACAAACCCATTTTTCATCGCAAATTCATTTATAAGAAATTCAATTGGAACCAATCAGAAAATAACTCCAACTAACAACCAAACAAGTTACCTCTATCATAAATTGTCCGGTAATGCCTGTTGACAAACTGCAATGTGGAAGAAAAGGAAGCATTCTAAGTGGAAGAGCAAATAAAGCTAACACTCACTCACCATAGTATTTAAACATTTTTGCATGATACCATACTTAAATAGACTTCACTTCAAAAAATTCTTGAATCTTGATCAGTTAATCTTTTATTCTTGAAACTGAATTTAACAATGAAAGTTAAACATTCTAAAAAATGGTAACTCAATCTAATTACTACGATAAAAGTTGAAAGAACCATGGACGTTGAGGAAGTGAGCTTGATATTATTAGGTAAATTCCAAAAATGTTTCAATTGATAAATAAAGAGAAAAAAGAGACCAAAACTTTCTCGAATCTTGAAGCAAAATGGAATAGCAGACAGAGAAAGAAGGTACCTTGGGATTTGTCTTGTGTTGGAAAGAATGGAAACGAGAAGAGGGAAAAGAAGAAAGGGAGCAACCGATTATGGTGGCCATTGATGAGAGGGAGAGAGAGTTTGCAAGAATTTGATTTGTTTTTATTACTAGTGATATGTGATTTATATAAACATTCATCTGCAACTAATTGCTTCTTTATTCATCGTATTAATAAATTTCTACTTATTGAATTTAAATTATATTTTACGGTTAAAACTCTCTGATTTCAGGTAATACAACTTTTTTTCATTTATATGATTGAAAATGTCTTTTTAAAAAAAAATCATTTTGAAAAGAGTTTTTACAAATAAATTTTAAAAAATAATATGACTATTTTTTAATGATATATTTGAAATCAATATTAAATAATCGTTGTTTTCATAAATTTAAAATAAATTTTCATGAAAACTATTCTCATTATGCGGACAAATGAATTTATTTCACTTATTCATTAATTAATATATATCCTAATCTTATTAACTGTTGTTTGGAGTCATGAGATTCTTAGTTTGTTGGCTTCTATTAAAATTGAAATATATTTACATATAAATTTAGTTTCTAAATTGAACTATTATAATTCTGTAAAATATTTTTTCTTCCAAATTATAGAAGATATGGATTCACTTTTAATTGTATTAATTATCAATTCTTCTTTGTATTCTTAATTTACTGTGATATTTATTAATGTGATGTCAAAATATGGGGTCCTTCTAACCAATGCTCATCACATTGGTTAGTATCAATGTAATGTCTTGCTGACACATTATTTTTACGAGCATTCAATTTTAATTGCTATGTTTTTGTCTCTGTAGTTCTATAACTAATTTTGGTGTTGTTCCTTTTCTCTTTGTTCTAGCAATTTTTTTTACTCTGATACTTAATATTATGCTTATTGAGAATTACAGTTTTATGTTAGAATTTTTTAATTCAATATTGACTAAGTAGATGATATAAATAAATTTTAACTTTCATTGAACAAAACATAAGTAATATTGCAAAATTAATTTTATTTTTCTTAAATTATATTGTACCTTAATTACAACGGTATGTTAAGAAAATTATAAACAGAAAAGACTTCTCCTATTTAATATTTCATATCAGCTTTTAAATCTACAATGTTCCATCCTAGATTATTTTTAGTCCAAATCAGTGTGAAAATACTTTATTTTCTTTTTCTTTTTCTATTTATCTGTCCAGATTTATGTTTTTATATCAACTTAATTGTTGGATTCCTAAGTTTTTTTTTTTAATTTGTTCGTAGTAATGAATTGATATCAAATAAAAAAACTGAATTCATATAAATTTCTTGCCAAGCATAATACTTGTGGTCATTTGGAAAATCAAACTTATGTACATGTAAATAAAATTGATATATTTTACATTATATCTTAAAAAAATTACTGGTTAAAAAAATATAAATTTTGTTGAAAATTTAGAAAAATATTATTATTTGATTATTAATTACTATTTTAAAAATTGAATCAAATTATACATTGTATACTGCGTTGAGTTTTCTTTTATACAAGCATTGCTTTTGAAATTTTTCTAAACATCTATATTATTTTAATTTACCTTTCTCGTATCTTTTACTAATAACAGAAAAATATCTCAATGTAGATATGCTATGCTAGCGATTTGATAAAACCTCAATCATAATAGAAATGTAACAGACCTTCAAGAACGAATCAGTCGTTCTTCATAGGAACGAAAATGGAACTCCACTCTTTTTCAACTATAAAAGAACCAAATTCAAAAGCATCATACACAAGGACTCGATTAACTACGTAGCCACCTTTTTGTTATAAAAAATGTCTTGTTTTCAACCCAATTGTTTTTCTATTTTGAAAATAATACTCGTGTAAATAAATTAAAAAAAGCATAAATATGTTTGCATATGAATTTTAAATAATATATTTAAAATAAAATATTATTAAAAAAAGTTCAATAATTTTATAATCAATTATCGAGAATATTTCTTACTTTAAGAGGACAAGAGAAAATAGTTTCACTTCTAAATTAACATTGCTTGTGAGTTGGCCATCTTCAACAATGAAGCGAAGCTACATAATACACTACTGATGAGCAATTACGCTCAGAATCAACCTAGCTTAATACACAACCTCTGAAACTCGTTCAAAACACCAAGACCCCAGAATAAAATGGGATTGGCCAGCTCTGACTTGAAACCACAATCAACTTCCTACAACCCCCCACCCCACCCCCTTACTTTTCGCTCTCTGATAGTCTTAACCCTTCCAAGGAAACACTATTCTCCAAATTACTTCCAATTTTAAATAAGATTAGCCCTCTTCAAAAATCGGATTGTCCGACAATAGTAGGGCCATATTGATTCCACAAAATCAAGATACTTCTCTACTATCCATTCTGACAATTCTTTCAACTTTTTTCTACCCAACTGTCTATAATCAGTATTTTTTATCCTCAATATAGGCTGCAAAATATGAGCATCGATGTCTTCTTTGAGCTTGCCACAAAAGACATAGATGTAGGCCAACATGAAATAAGAGGGCGAATTCTTAATTACTTTGACTGTCTGCTTGAAGCTGAAGATATAGAGTGCACATAGCCACCTCATCATCATGACGTAGAGAGCCACAATGAGTGGCCCCAAAACCCATAAAGGAGTTAGCTCCTTCGACACCTCAGCACCATAAACTACATTAACAGCCAAGTAGAAAGGAGCACTGCAGATAAATATGGAATCAGAAGATGCAAAAAAGGTATTAAGTAATATCTCTCTTTGCATTAAATACGTTGTAGTATATTGAGGTTGAAAATGATGTAGGTGCTTATATAGACGTACTCTCTTTGCATACAAATAATCTTGCTAAAAGCAAGTACTTTTGAAGAGTTGTTATATATCAGACTTCAGATTATTCCATGAGCCTTTCTTGGAAAGAAGCTAAAGGCATTAAAAACAGCACTTCCTCTTTTAAAAAGTAAGCTTTCTGTGCTTCAAGAAAAAAAAAAATACAGCATAACATTGCTTTTAGAACATAAAAATGATAGAGCTAATGTTACATTCAAACGTAAATAGTCTTTAAAAAAAAAAAAAAAACTTTTAAAAGAACATATAAAAAAGATCTTATTCCAAACCTCATCTAAACCAGCCCACTTCTTTTTCTAGTTGACATTTTGTCTGTCCATTTGATATTATCATATTGCATATTTATTGATCCAAAGGATCCATCTGATAGGCTCTTACCATTATAGAGAATTCCTATAAAACCTGATATCTGAAGCAACTACAGGAATTGTTTAAACATGAATAATATAAACCTTAACATGTCTAACAAACGGTAAAAATAACTAGTATGGAAGATGTCCAATTCTACTGCTAATTACTATCAAGGCAATGCTGCCTAGTTCTACTAAGCAAGTCATCCCCACCCACTTTCCCGGTTTATTTTCTCTATAAATTCTGATAATAAAAGTGGTTTCAAACTAAAATACCAAGCAGACACCTCATGAAATTAAACATGTGATTATCTGACAGCAATGCATATGATACAATAAGAAACACCCACACATCCTTTTTTTCCTCAAACCCAGAAAACATGTGTAGGGAGAGGCAAATAACTTCAAGTGCAGAGATGGAAAATTTTTCATACTTACAATATTAAGAAAGGAATCTTTATTGTTGCATCCAGGGCTAGAAAATGAGACCATACTGCCTTCAAACTCTGAGCTTTTACGGTCTTTTGTGTCCCTTGTAAAGATTCTGGTAAAACTTCTGGAGGTGGTTCTCCCAAGATTTCCTCCTCCCCTTGATTCGGTGGTGGTGTACGCAACATTGTAAGCCATTTTTTGAGAAGTTTATGAATACCAGGTGATACTGCAAGGTTCTCATTTGCTTCAGAAGCACAAGAGAGTGGAACATGGTTTGCCTTTGGAGATTCTGATTTGAATTCGACACTCTCATCCAGTCTAACAGAGTTCTTGTGGTTGGGGACCTTCAACCCATTAGCACTGGTTACTGAATCATCATTTTTGGCACCGCCTTTGAAGCCTGAAATCTTCAAAGGTTTCAGCTTGGATCTACAAATGTGAGAAGGCCCTACACTGGAAACAAGAAATCCTTTATCTGCATTTTAATGAGGTATTTAGCCAAAATTTTCCAACACAAAAGAATCCTAAAACATGTAACTGAAAATTGTAATTGCAAACTAAAAACATTAATATCGAATTCAATGTGATAATTTGGTATTACAACAAAAATGATAAGACATCTAAGCAGTTAAATAAATCATTGTTGCAAAATTTATACAGACGTACCTACAATTCTACGAGCAGAAAACTATGTGCAGATGACAATTTTATTATGTTAAAAACAATATAAAAATAAAATATAAACATAGCTATATCAATCATGACTGGTAAGTTTTTTTAACTCTTATTCAACGAGGCTCCTTAAAGTAGCATTTCAAATTGACTTTGCTAAATCTTATTAAATAACCACATCATATATTCTATGACACTTCTATCATTATGTAAATATGTTCTAAACATTTTTGTAATTGAAAACAGTGACCCATATAACTGACCAAAATTTTCATCAGCGACACAACAAACTATCCACCTTAGTATGTAATGCCAATCAGCTCTTCCAATCAAGTGACGTTTTGATAAACATTGCTTCAACTTCAGCCTCTTGCTACATAACAAATTCCTTGAGGAAAATGCCACAAACAAACCCTGAGGAAATAAAAACAAATTATTCATATTTCATATATCCATCCCTATATTTGAAATCTTAACATGGAAAATCTGGATAGCAAACACAAAACACCACTAAAGCTAGACCAAAAGCTTATTGAACTTAGTGTGTGTTTGTATTGACCAAGAAAAATAATTTCGGCAAAATTGAAGTAACTTTTCTCTCAGTTAACAAAGTTTTGAAAATTTTGAAACCAAGTTTACCAAAGAATACAAACAGATCTTTCAAATCCTGGAAGAATTTGAGAGAGAAATAGAGATGTGTTGTATAGCTTCATTTTCAAATAAAATCAATCTTCGGGATAACTAATAAATGTTGACAACTGTCTTATGTTCAAATTACTAAATTTAATGTAACAGTTCAATTGTTGCAAACAAAAACATCACTGGGACAGTCATACTACTCTAACTCTGAGTATAAAATTACAGAAAGCATTGATACTAAACCTTTAATCGGAAAGTAATCATGTACATAATCCCCAGCACCCTTATACAACTATAAACTAGTCTCATGGTCATTGATATTACTATTGGGCTCAATTTTATCCAAAGAAGGCTAAAAGCTTGATGAAAGCAAACAGTAAAAATTGACCACAAAAACAATCCAATAAGAGGTCAATTTGATTTAGAAGTACCTGTTGTTGATGAACAACAAAAGTCATTTTATGTCTTTAACCACCAAAGTATCCACTGGTAGGACCTATTGACCAACAACCAAAACAAGGAATTCAAAGAGATAAATAAACACAACCAAAACAAGGAGTGACTTAACACATTAACATTTCAACTTTGGACGTTAAATGTCTCCATCCAGCCTACGAATTGTCATAGAATTGAAAATAAATTTTAGAACCACGACATCAACTCCAATGCTTAGAAGGGTTTAAGATAAACACACCATAAATAAAAAGTAAGAGAAATCCAAGTTAAGAGAAACAAATGAACACGAATAACGTAACTTACCGGCCGCTAGCTCCGATTTTCACGAATTATTGAAACAATAGAGAAATTAATTGTAGGAATGGAAATAGAGACCTAGGAATCGAATTTGAAGGAGAAAGGTATTAAGTCTTGGAAATGAATGGAAATCGGAATTTTGCAAACCCTATACCCAACTACAACGCACTGAACATGGACGAACAAGTTGATGATACGAGCCTTCATTTCCTATTTTACTACACCTTCATAAGACATCAATTGCAATTTGTCAAGCTTATTTTGAATAAAAATAAAAGTTTGATTTTGTTTTTCTCATCAAATAATTTTTTTTAAAGTTTTAATTTTGTTTTTTGTTTTCTCATTTAGTTTTTCTAGATATTACAAATGTTTATTTAGGAAAAGATAGAATAAAAACGCATTTTTTTATTTATCTATGTAAATAATATTTTCTTAATTGAGTGAAAAAATATAATTTATATTGTGTTTCTTTTACTCATTTTTATTATATATTTGATTTAACTTTTTAATATAAAATAATAAAAAAAAATTTATGTATTTTTTTAATTTAGTTTTCTTCTTGAAATTTTATCTCATATTTATTTAACTTCAATAATTCATAATTTTATAAATAAATATTTATATTTTAAAATTAATATATATATATATATATACACTAAATTTTAATAAATTAAAATAAAATACGTAATAAAAATATGAGCTCAGATGCATGTGTGCCTTTTCCGCTGGTTTTCATTTTCTTTTTTATTATTAGTTGCAAAAAAATATTATATATAATAAATAGAGAAAGAATGTAATATCTAAAATATAAAGAAGGAAACAAAATTAAAAAAATATATTTTAAAAAATATTATAGAAAAAATATAAATATTCAAACATTACCAATATATGTGTTTCCACTTATGTAAATAAATAAAATTTATGTTATTTAAATCCAAATAACATAATTAAAAGGTTGAAAGAAAGGGTGAAGACTTGTGAATATTATTTGGAAACTAAGTTGTCAAGAAGACGGACTTCAATAAAATATGCAGTGTTGTTGAAAGGATTTGACAATGTACACATAATGGTATTTATAATATTATTAAAGGTTGTGACAAATAGAAGTTCATGTCTTTTTATATCTAAATGCAATGTAGTTTTATTAATTTGTATTTCTTTTCTGACTCACTTTCTACAAAAATCCAAAGAGCTTTCACATAATTACTCAAGTTTTTCTTTTCTTTTTTTCAACTAAGTTCATTCATTAAATTTTTATTATTTTAGTTTGTGAATATTATAGTATAATTGAGGTCAATATAACCTATGATAAGGGATAAAATGAGAAAAATAAATGAAACTCTTCAAGATGTATTATTGGTTAACCAAATTGTGTTTTGGATTAAATTGTGTTTTGGATTAATCAATTAATGAACTTTAGTTTGATTTTATTGCAAGTTGTAATAAGGGTCTAATTGGAAATTTAGTTTTTAGTCTTTGGAACACTGAGAATGTGTATAGCTGATTGACTTTTGGATCCCACAATTTCGATTACTAATAAATCATTAAATAGTTTTCAATTCCTATATTAATAAATCATTATTAGCTTTTATTTGTCTCCATTAAATAGTTTTCAATTCCTAGATTAATGAATCATTATTAACCTTTATATTTCTTTTATTAAATCTTTGTAATTCTGATCACAAAACTTCTATATAGACTGAACCATTTTTATCAAAAATAACAAGTGAAATTTTAGTAAGAACTAGTGAGAGTGATTCTCCTAAATTCTTGAGTGATTCAATAATCTTATGCTTGTATAAAATAACTTTCACATCCTTTGTGAGTTACCTTCCTTAGAAAGAATTATTTTTTCATTCCACTTCATCACTAGATTCTTAAATTTCTTATAAAGTTCTAACTCTAAATATCCTAAATCACCCTTTTAATTTATATCAATAAGGAATGCTATAACATTATATATAAAATTATTAATATTATTTATATGAAACGTTATAGTAAACACGAAACAAAATTTGTTAATATTATTTAAGTTCAATAATAACAAATAAAATTCACTAATAAGTATAAAGATTTTCAATAAACATGGTTTAGAGTTAATAGATAAAACCTCTCAACCAGTTTATTTTTTTTATATTTTTTATTTATGACTGGTTCATCATAATTTTATATAAAATTAACTAAAGTTAGTTTTTCTCTTAATGAAAAATAGATTAATTATCAATTCAACCTGTGTAAACGAGTGAGTCTAATTATAATTACATTTTACAAATATAAACTTTTACGGACTTTCGTTGAATCACTGCTAGAATAGTCTACCACTAGAATACTATTAAAAAAAAAAAGTACGTGTTAACAATCTAAAGTAACAATAACACAAATGTTAAATTATTTTTAGTATTGTATTTTTTTATAATATTTCATGATCTCTTTTTAATTCAGTTTTTGAAATAAGTTATAACTAAAGTATTTTGTTAGTAACTTAGAAAAGTTTGAAAATAAATTTTGGCATGATGCAAAATTGGTTGGATTTTAAAGATTGTTTACATATGTATTTTTTTTATACAAGAGATATATGATATTATGAACTTTATATTTTATTAATAATAAATATAATAAAATATTAAAATCTTAATCGTGTTTTAGTTTAATTATCTAAATCAAATAGTAATAATAAAATATTTTTATTATGAATAATATAAAAATATCTTAATATTTAATTTAAATAATAAAATATATATTCTCAATTAATATCATACGTATCTATTTAAAAATAATAACAAAAATCTATTTATAATAAACATATATAATTTATCCATGTGATAGAAATATATGATAAACTTATATTTAATTGGAAAATTTGTCCCACCCAATATGATGCAATTATATTTTATAAATTTAATTAAACTTTATTATATACATTCAGTTAGCATTAGATTGGACAACAATAAACATAATAATTGTTTTAATAATTTTATATATTATCATATAAATATCGTTTTATTTTTAGAATAAATATTATTGTTATCTTATAATTTATTAAAAATCATTGCAACTATTTATTTTAAAGCATTTTTTAACAAATTATTTTTTAAATCACCTTAATTAAATTTAACTAAAAAGAATAGAAGATTAAATTTAGTAATAATTATCTGTAACTTTTTTCCCAAAATAATTCACCATCTATGATTTTATTTTTTTTAAATTGCAAATATCTACACATACCTTTTTAAAAAAAAAAATTGTAAACTACAAACAAAATTATTCTTTAAAATATAAATTTAAATAATTTTTCATCCTAAAGTACGATATAAAAAACAAATAAAATACATTCCACTGCAAAGTCTAAATTTATAAAGTAATTTCTCTAAAACATTTACATTTCTACAAATCTAAATAAACAGAAATAAATCAACAAAATCAAGCTCTAGAAATTCTTCAATTATTGAAAACCAAACCTTATACAATCCTTCTAATTAATATTTTTCTAATCAACAACTCTCATAGACCAATCCACACTCTAGATCAAATCACTATCAATTTATATATCTTATAAAGATTTAAAAGTTGATTTACATTTTTCAAAAAGGAAAAAGAAATTGACTTAGAAGCAAAATATTATGTATAATTTTAATATCATCAAGTACTCGGTTTAAATTCCATAATTCTCACTCCCCTAATATCCGTTGTTTAACTAATGTCCATTCCGGATTTTATCCGTTGATCTTGGAATAGCTTTGCTTTAGACATCCAAAAATCACTCCAATCCATTCATTGTCTGTCATGTTTTAACAATGCTGTACCATATGATCCAATAGCTTTCCAAAACCCCAATCCCTCGAACGCCCACAAGGAGAGGAAAACAAAAACAACACTTTGAACATATTTGGTCGCTTTCGACATAGCTGAATTTCTGAACAGTCATTATCTCAATGAAAATAATTATATTTACTCAGACTGCGTAAACGCGTGAGCACATTTCATATATTTTCCAGCAAAAATACGACGAGGAAATGGGCACCGTAGAACACACATGTTCTCTCTTTGGTATCCTAGTTATCCCTAACAGTAGACACGTTGAAACATGTGTCAAGTATACCATACTTCGATAAAGAAACAAAATGCCATCAAATTACTAATTTTTAATCAGATACACTAGAAAAATAACAATCAACCACAGGGAACTCTATCCACGAAACCCTTTTCTGTCCCCAGCCCCCCCAAAACAAAAACGGGGACAACATCTTCATCGCTCCTAGCCCTGCCGAATACATACCGATAATCAGTACATAATTGATGTTTATATATCGCAAGATATCTGGAACCTAAACTGCATGTACCTGAAAGCACGGCTGAATATAGCAGCACAGTTGATGGGGTGCATTGCCTTTGATGGAAGACAAAAAAGACTGCCTTAAGAAAGTCTTTCTACTACTCAGCATCTAATCATAAGATTCAAAACCACCCTGGCGTCCGTAAGAGTTTCCCCCACCTCGGCGTGAATGAGTTGGGCCTCTCTCCCTAAATCTTCTTTCACCATGGTTACCAATTTTAGGTCGTTCAAAGTTGTCTGATTTGCAATCATCATATGGGCCAAGAGTGTGATACTCGTGATGCATGCTCGGGCCCTGCCTTTCCCGGTTTATAGGTTGTTGATTATAATGTCTGTTATCCTGGGTTGGTGGCTTCAAATCTCCATGAGATTCATGTCCCCTTCGAAATCGATTCTGGTTCACATTTTTGCCGGAACCAGAAGATGGGCGTTGGTCGTGCAAAAGATCTGCACTTGTTAGAGCCTGCTCCACTGAGGTTGTACCAGAAGCCAAATTTGGGGAGTGGTGATGCCTTTTTGGTGGAGCATTTCGTCTCTCTTTTTTACCCTCTTGATTTCCATAATAGGGAGCTTCCGCAGATTTGCTTTTCTCAGGGACTTCTTGATCATGCACAGGTTGGGAAACTTGAGCATTGGAACTCTTGCCACGGCTCACTGGAAGAGATTCCCCATCATGAGAGGGATCCTTTTTGTTACCTCCAACAACTACTGAACTAACATTTTGGTCACTTGATATATTCCCTCTGTGATTATTAGATGCTTGAGATTTCGGTTGCCATTGAGACATCAAACGTTCCCCAACACCTCGATTTTCTTTAGAAGCCATCCCAACATCTGGTTGGCCATGCTCAGAGGATGAAATACGGATTTCAACTCTCTCTGCCTCCCAAGAGTTTCTTTTGTTATCAACTTCACGGTTCCCTCCTGGACCCTTGTGTCCTCTGAAAGGGGCCCGCCTCCCTCTACTTGTTGCTGCATGATCTTTAATAACAGGAGCTGAGGTCAAAGCAGCTGAATCATTGCAGTTGGAATTGTTTGAACCATCCATATCAATAAATTCATTGAAATGCTTAGTTTGCCCTTTCACAAAGCTGCTTACTTCAGACTTATGATCGTGGTGATGCTCTGTTGGTCTCTGAACATTTGGCTCAGAGTGTGAATCATGGTCCAGTTCATCATCCACATTAGTTGATTCTGTCAGATTTCGAAGCCGCCATGACCCATGTGCTTTTCCCTGCTTAGTGTGCCTGCCGTCTCTATTTTTAGACTCTATCCCCATTTTTCCAACAACTAAATTACTATGCTGAATGATCTGAGGGCCCTGTGATCCAGAATCAACTCTGCCAATGCTATCATCAGTAGGAGCGTGACTGCTTGATGAAGCTACCTGTAGTATATTTCCTTGCTGAGCCATTTCTTTTGCAACAGGTTTTGGAATATATCTCTCCATTTCTGCCCTCTTATTTTTTAAATTATGCACCTGCTGCTCATTCTTTACAGGATTAACTGCCTCGGTTTTACTTTTCTCAACTGATTCATCCATGATCTCACTCTTGTTCTGTGGTTTAACAGGTGCCCACATCACAGCATCAGTCCCATGAGATTTATCCGCTGGTCTATTGGCCTGCATATTTCTTGGCAACCTACGAGAATGCTGTGATTTCCACTGGCTATTTGTTCTACCATGGGATTCCTCGTTTGCTGAATATCTGTGCTGCTCTGGAAACTGATTTGGATCTTTGGACAAGGGTGCTGCTGGCTGAAGTACACCCTGATCTAACTCAAAGTCAGAAGCTTTGGACTTGTCACTTTCAACTGAACTTTTGAAAAGATTGGTTTCTTTCGGTATAGGTGATGGTAGTACAGCCTGATTTGAACTTTCATCATGTTTCTGTTTGTTTCTGCTATTCCTCATATTCTTCTTTTTCATGTTTGCTGAAGACTCAACCACAGAAGCTACATTCACAGGTAAATCGGAGCCAGAAGCTGAACCAACTTCATTTGTAACACCACCAGAAGACAGAGAAGCATCAACCTTTGCCTCGTTCTCAACTTTAACGTTCATTGGGGTGGCAGAGACAACCTTTTCACTTGATGTTTTCTCTAAAGGAAGATTTTGCTTCTGTTTATAGCTCATTCGCTTCTGCTTTGAGGAGACATTGTTAAGAGCATGCAAGGCATTAGCAGCATCAGCATTATTAATATCCTGGTGCAGGGCCACAGCTTGATTATGATTCAGAATAGGTTCTTTGCCAGAATTTTTCAGTGTCTCAACAGTTGCCTCATCAGGCAAGATTGGAGATTTTTCCACTCTACTAATGCTGGGGTCATTTATCTGACACATGGCACTACAATTTACAGCAGCAGAACAGACAGCTGTAAATTTGCCTGCTTCAGTTGTTGACTCAGACGGTTGTAATTCCGCTAGCTTATTCTGAATGGCAGAATTTATAATATACTCTTTCTGGGTTGATCCATCCCCTGCTTGAGAACGTTTGTTTAACTCATCCAACTTCGCAAGAGCTTTAGCCTTTTGCTTTCGTGTCCGTTCCTCCTCTTCTTCCTGCAGCTGTTTAGTCCGTTGCTTGGCTAACTCCTTCATTTTGGTCCGCTGATGTGTTTCAAAGTGTATAATGTAAGTATTAAATGCAGAGTTAAGCTAGCAAGCACAGAAAAGGTACCCACAATACCTGTGCATGGCTGTCAGCAGGATCAGACTTGGATTGAACAGATTCTCCAATGTGCCTTGCTTGGTTATAAGATCCAGACATGTCATAGGTCTGAACAGATATTTGATGATCACCTACAAGAACATTAGATGATTCTATCTGTACACCAGACTCAATCTGTACACCTGACGAAGCTGAAGAATCTTCAACCACAGATTTCTTTCGCCAACCATCAGCATCTTGATTGTTTGATCTTCCTTTGTTACGATGGTCACCTCTACCTTGCATTCCATGAGCAGATTGCCTGTGAATAAGCACTTCAATACTTTTCACCAACATAAATGAACCATAATTACAGTAGTCAGACACTTAGTAGAAGCTATTGCCAAACCTGGATGTAGCTGTACCACTGAGAGATAAGGATTCAAAATTTTTTACAGCACCAGCAGGACCCATTTCACGATGAGCAGGATTTATGATTTCTGTGGCATGGGTTCTTGCAGAAAACACATCAGAACCAACAGCATTTGCCAGATGGTCTTTCACAGCATTACCAGCATGAAATTTACTCCTTTGCTCCTCTTTAATTCTAGCAGATGAATTATCCCTAGCTTTTGCATTCAAACCCTCTATCTTTTGAATCAAACTGGAATCTTTTGGAGCAGATGGTTTAGGGGATATTTCTAGCATATCAGAGGTAACACCATCCAGTTTCCTTGCCGAAATATCATCAGACTTTTTTATGTTTCCTACACTTTCAGGAGATTTGGCCTTTACAACAGAAGAATTAGATACTTGATTTTCTGAAGTCTGAGAAGAAACTTCACTATGGGTACTTGTCCTCAAATCCATCTCCTCATTCTTTCTGTGATTTGATTGCTGCTCATTCTCCCAAACAGCCATTCTCGGTTGCCCCCGCCCATCAACATATGTTGCATTTGTAGTCTCTGAATCCTCCCAATTTGTTGGTTCATTTTTTCCATCTGATTCCGGTTGCTGCTTAAGAAGAACTCTGTATGGTCCAGCAATATCAGGGGGATGGCCAGATTCCATTTGCTCTGGGGCCAATTGCTTCCCAGCATTACCATATCCACCAGTTCTACCTTGTGAATTGCCAGGTTCTGGAGGATTTTGATTTGAGTACCTATTATAGAGAGGAGGTCCAGCAGCCATTCCCATGAATGGAACGTCTCGCTCATTTGCATTGCAAAAGCCCATGGGAGGACTGTAATATCCCTCATAAGCCACTGAACCAGGATAAAATCCAGGTCTCATAGGAATGCCTGGACGAATAAAGGCCTCGGCCATGTGAGGCCTGTAGACATCACCATTCTTATGGTGCCCTCTTGGTCCAGGCCCAGGAGGGGGCACTGGGGGTGGGTTCCCAAGACCGGCAGGAGGCATATGCGGACGGTAATATGGAAATGGTTCCATTGGAAAGCCACTTGGAGTAACAGGGTTTCCAAATGGAGGGCCACTACGAGGACCCCTGAACCAAACACAGCCCTGAGGGTTATTTACTGGAGGGCCATGCCAAGCATCATAGTGTTGAGGAGGAATACCAGCATTAGGATAAGGCTGGGTGTTTCCCTGCCACTTCTCTATGCCTGGCCTCACACTTTCCTCGTTATAAGCCTGATAATCTCTTCTCCAAGAATTTACAGTTCCACCCTTACTATTTGCATTTACAGGAACATCGTCTGAAATATCAGCAACACAAGATCATCAAAGAAGGAATAATAACCAAGCAGCAGAAAATGGCAGAATAAACATTGAACCAAAACATTGGTGTAAGAGCAAGAACATGAAAACATACCAATAACAGGGGTCTCATTTATCTCTTTCCTGAGTTCAGAAGATGAGTCAGGGTGAGCTTGAGAATTGTTCTCTGCCAATGGTTGATAAATTAATTAAAAAAAATCATTGAAAAATCAATAGTATATCTAAAGGTACTAATGTAGTTTCTATATTGTATGCTTCAAGGTAACAAGCTGACAATACTATATTGGACTATTCAACAATTAACAATAATCAACAATAAAATTACAACAACCATGTTTATCCCACTTTAAAGCCTATGTGGCCGTATATGACTGTAGGAGATGAGATACACACTCAAATATTGCCAACACACTCAAGTTACCACAAAGACAAAAATAATAAGTAGGTATTCATAAAATATAAGTGAATTCTCTTCCATCCATTCCCAATATTATACTTATATATAGCACTGCATATGTATAAGGGAACTTTGATTACAAAACCCGAGGATGAAGGTACTGGCAATAAACCACATACATTAAAACCTTTAAAGGGAATAATTGACATCAAACTACAACATAAGCAAGAAATCCTAGTAACTTCGGCAAAAACCATTTTATTGGAAGTAGGTAACCACCACTAAATAATTAATGTGATGTGAATTTAAGAAACAACTACAGCCATAAAATGCAAAATTAATCCCATAAAAAACAGATACTCTAAATAATAAAACAATCACCATAATAGTTAAAGTATGATTGTATGATGATACCTTGCAACTCAGAATTCAGAACAGACTTATCTTTATCAGAACCAAGGGTTGGAAAGTCTCCGGAGCTTAGAGAAAATTCTTCATTCTTGGCTTGTGTAACTCCCTGCATTTGTACAATTGTACCAAACCATTACCAGTGGCAGGGCTAGCAATGCATGCAACATAAAGGCAGTAATAGACAGGTGGACCTAAGAATACAAGGAGAAAACCTATTTTTTTTTTGTTTGGAATACATGATGTTTGGAATGTCTTAACCAGTAAATCATAGAAATACAAAATAAAAGTTCCTACTATCTTAACAATCAAATAACAAATCATAGTTGCAAATATCTGCACTGTCACAAAAACTATACTCCATAACAAGGTGTCAACCGTATTCCAAACCAACAAAAAGTGCTAGGAAATGGAAATTTTTTACAACTGTAAAATTCCAGTGACAATTACAGTAAGACCAGGCATCTTAAACACTAGATTAAACCCACAATTCAAGAAACAATGAATAGGAAAAAATTAAAATTTAAAAATTCTTCAAATGCAACTAATAAATAATCCTACTCAAGTTTTAAGCAGAAGCCTACCAGTTTATCTGTAGTCCTAGCAGCATTCCAAGCACCTGAATTTTCAATCAAGGGTTCAGCAAATCGAGACAGCTGTGAGCTACCGGGTCTAGTTTCTGCACTCCGAGGACGCAGTGATGTCAATGAAGACTGATTTGTTGACAGAATCCCAGAAGCTGATGAAGGCCGAGAATTTGACCCCCATGAATTAGCAGTAGGCTCAAGAACCCTATCACTACCAGCAGTAGAAGGTCGTGTGCCACTTCCACCAGATGATGGACGGGCACTGAGATGACTGGGTGAACCAGTACCACCATCAGTATTTGGGGACAAAGAAGAAGACCCCCATGCATTAGATGTAGAAGATGATGATCTACTACCCCAGCTGAGTGTACCCCTGATAAAAGATCACACAAGTATCGATAATCTAAAACTAGATGGAAGAAGGCATCAGAAAAAGTCATATCATTAGAGTCTATGGAATATATACTCACTTGGGAACAATCTCCACATTTGGGTCCAGACCATGATTTTCTAACCTTGAGAAAAACAAGAGGCAAATTTTTCAGATGGCAACCAATCAGTTAGTTAACTGAAAAGTGAAAAGTGTTCAGCTCCAGCCAGAACATAAATACCTCTGACTGGGTAAGTTGATAGGTTTTGGAACTGCAACTTTCCCTAAAACAGTCATACCACCTCTTCTGGAAGAAGAGGCCCATCTGCAACAGCATTAGCACATTATCAATTTCAATTTCCTTTTAACACTTAATAAGTTAATATATTTATAATTCATGCGCACATGGGGGGCGGGGGGGAACTACAATAATGGATAAGATACTGAATTATGACCTAAGCAAGATAACAAGGAATCATGGGACATGGAACAACTACTGGACTTGGGCAGAATGCCTAAAGAAATATGTCTAATTTCTGTATTCATCATTACAAAAAGAAATGAAATGGTACGATGGGAATCTTTATAACTGAGTTTGCAAACCATGATATTATTAGGTTAGTAGAATATAGGGAGGAGGAGGAATGAGATGTGATGTATGCTGTTTATTTTTCTTAGTTCTTTTAATATAATAACATTCATACACTGACTTCTGCTCTTAGCGTTCAGAACCACATTGGCATATCTTTGGAAAAAAAAATACCCAAAGATTTATTTCCCAAACCCTTATGAAACCACAGGACCTGGACACTACCTAAAATCCTCACCCTTAGTTCACTTTACTGGCTTCAAAAGCACTCAAACTTTAACATACCTTCGTTCCCCACTCAACATGCTTGAAGTCATAGTCTAGTTGCCGCCGCACGGTCATTCAATCCTAATCTAAAGGCCTGCTAAGAGAGACAAAGAATCATAATTCAGTTGATGAAACATATTGTAATGAATTCATACAGGTACATAATTTTAAGATGTACTACAATACCAACATTAAACCCTGTGAACATTCAATAGATGTTCTCTTTCTTAAATTTCAAAGGAACAGTAGGAGTAATATAAACTGGAAACTTTTAAGTGTGTAAGCTGGCAGCAGCAAATTCTCAACATCCTACTCCACAGTTAACAGATTATAGGTCGAATTTTAGGATGCCTTTCATCCATAGCATCATTCTAATACATCCCATTTCAGGCAGTCACCAAGGCCATTCAAATGCTAATTTTTGAAGGCAGCAAAATCCATTGATATCTTCATTATTTTCTCCATTTATTACCAAATCTCACCTGTCTCTAAATGGAGCTGATCCTCTAAATAAAAAATGCTAATCAAGAAACAGTTCAAATGCTCATGGTCTTAAGAAGATTATTAACTTATATGAAATTTAGACTCCTGTAAAATCACAGGGAGCAATTCAAAGGCTAAGTTAAGTCTGTTGGTCATTGAAATAGCAGCAAAATACAGATTATAATATTCTTAACAATATCAACTATTAATTTTCCAATAAACAATTATAATTTTTCATTTTACTCAATCGGTCAATCCAATGCAATAATATCCATGTGTGCAGTTTGCCCATCTACCTTATGCAGAGATGCTCTATTAAGGGTTTCTATTTCCAATCATATTTTCCATCAATACATTTAATATCACGCATCTATATTCAAACAAGTACAAAAAGTGCCTCATCTTCATGCAATGAATCAACCAATACAAAACAGCCTTTCCTTCTGAGCATCGAGTATATATTCATAGCACCACGCCAAAAACAAAGGTATAACCCTTTTGCAGTCACAACCATGTGTCTCTCTACTTTACGTCTACCAGATAACATATTCCAAAAATCCATTAACAATTCAATTCCACCAGAACCAATCATGTGCCAATTCCATAGTAGTGATCTTATCAGCAAACCAGAGATCCAAAAAGGAGAAGCAACAAGAGTAACACAAACTTTCAACAGCAACCGCTCTTCAACAATGCTAGCACAGGCAAGTTACGCCCGAAAATCACACATGCAAAACATTTTCAAAACTTGGAAAACAAGGGTCCAAACGAAGTTCACAAGCAAATCGCAATAGAAAGGAATTTGATCATTATATTCCTCAAAATAAGAAAAAAAATACAAATAAACGACTATACAAAAACCACTTTCGCGATATAAACATATATTACACCGTTCCATTTAATCTCCCGCAACAGAAAAATAAAATAAAAACAAAGGCACATCAAATCCCAAAGCAGTTAAAGTTACAGTTGCAAAAATGCCAGTTCTAATCCCCCTCGAAATACGTGTTTTTTTTCTCCATTTCCTCGGAACCAATCGAGGATTAATTAGAGTTGGAAGTGAAAACGAAAGTGTACCGGATACAGTGGAAAATCCGTGGCCTCGGAGAAACCCTAACGAAGCAATTGCAGAAAGCTGCAAAAAGAGGGAGAGAGAAAAGGAGAAGAATATGCGTCAAAAGGTTAGGGGAATTTCGCGGAAGGTGTTGAGTGAGGTTGAGAAAGAGAGATCTGTAAGAGTTAGAGGCGATGGGTTTCGGATCGGAGAGGCAGAAGGGTACGCGAGAGGACGAGAACGAAAAAGAGAGAGAGAAAGAGAGAGCTGAAAGATGTAACAGTCGAGTTACCTTACCATCCGAGAGAAAAATTGTTTATTCATATAGGGTGTAGGCCTAATCTACAAATTACATTTATTAAATAAAATTATTTTACAGGTGGTACAAAGATTATACAAAATTTATCAAAAATTAAATACAATGTTCTACAGCTAATCAAAAAAATAAAAAATATTTCGAAGTTTCCAAAAACATTAAATTCTGTGCTTTCTAAAAAAAAATAACATCTCATGAGAGTAAAAATAATCCAATGATAAATTAGCAGTTTGTTTATCTGTGTTATGCGTGTTGCTAATTATGGCTTACTGAAAATATTTTCTGCACAAATAATAGAATTAGTTGCGAAATGAAACAAATGGAACTAGTAGAACATGTCACGTTTACCAAAGTATATAAATTAATTTGGATCGGAAACATGATTTAATTTACAAAACATTCCTTTTTTAGGTTTTTTTTTTTTTTTTGTGTTTGATTTTATGTTATAATAAAATGAGTGGACAAAAAATGTATTAGAGAGCCCTGGCGAATGAAGTGATGTTAAAAGTGGACAAGAATAATTGTATTATTCGTAGTGGTCCAGTGTGGCTTCAATCGTATTGATCAGATGCGTAATAGTTTGTTTAAATATTAATATTACAAATCAAAAATAGATGAAAAATTGTTTCTAATTTAACATTAATCATACTTTAAAAAAATACCTTCTTACTAGTACCAGTTATAAGTCTAATATACCATAAAAAAAATATCAAAGCATAAGACAGGTATCAATCGTTTTATTAATTGTTATTTATTTTCAATAAATATTAGATAATTAATAAACTAAATTTAATGTTATTTAATCATAAATTATTTTATATGAACATTTATTCAATCTGATAACACCTATCTTAAAAATCTTAATCACGATCATTTTTTTATTAATTACTGGTGTAAAAGTATATTAAACTAACATTGTATAGCTTTAAACTCTATAATATCATATTTATATGATTTTTAAAACAAATGTAATCTACTATACACAAATAAAATATTTTTAATTTGCAGCAATTTATTTAAATAAATACTAAAATGACTAAGACCCTGATTATTTTTTTATATAAATTTCTACACGTAATCTTCTTGCACTCGTCTTCTTCGTTTTTGTAATATGAACTTTATTAAAGAATATAAAAAAAATTATTTTATCTTTCCCTTGAACCGTACTCAAGGTAAATTCATTTCGTACATGCAACTACAACTTTGAAATCTAAACCTTATTTGTGAATATTTATTTTAAATCCAAATTCATCTGGAAATCCTTCTTCTTCTTCTTCTTCTTCTTCTTTTTTATTTTTATTTTTTTTAAACTCAAGCAATTCTTAGCAAAATTTATACATTTCTTGAATATATATTTATTGATTTTGTTATGAGGTACATATATATCTACTTTGAGTAAAAATTATTTTAGAGCTATATTTTTGGGTTTTCTATTACCCATCGTTTGGCATTTTTGGATTTTACAAATACTTTATCGAGGCTATTTGAGTAATTTGTATTTAGTACTCTATCACATAACCGAGTTAAATAAAAATAGGGGTTACCTCCATCTTAGTAGATCAATTATTTGTTAAGCCTCCATTATTTCAATGTTTTTTTTTTTTTACTTATTTTCAGGAACCTGGACATTCACACATTATAAAGGAAGTTTTGAACACATTTTAATTATACTACTAATGTTTTGTTTGGTTTAAGAAAGAATGATAAATGAAAGATAGGAGGATGAAAAAAAAACAGAAAGAAAAGAAAGATATTTATGAGAAGGCGCCAATGACCTAAATAAAGGGTATCATTGGGATCTAAATTGTAATTTATTTTGAAATAGAACCTTGGGTATTTAGTGCATGGACCATTAATAACTTGTATTTGGGTCGTGATGATCTCAACTTAAAATAAAATGAAAATGTCATATACTGCACTCAATACTGACAAAGAGGCTTGGAGCCTTCTAAAAAACTGCAAATAACTAGTTGTTTTGGATTTGAACAATAAAGTGATCCTGTTAAGAGTTTTATTAGATTGAGAAAAATAAATAACTTGAAGTTGTACTCAAATCTTGAAATTCTTCCACTTAATAAATTATATTTTTAGATTAGACTCTTTTGTTGTGTTTAAGCCTTAACAGTTCTATCCGACAGACAGGTAAAAGCCTGTAAAAGAAGTGTTAATTGAAAATTACAACATCAATTTCAGCTCAGAAAATGTTAGACGAAGCAATCACTGAACTAAAATGAGCAGTTTGGTTTGGTGGCTTTGTGAAGTTACTTTAATCTTCTCATCCGTTCCCCGAAATTGTCCCTTCTAAAATCACCAGAAAACAAGAAGGAAGGAAACTTCCATCCTATCTTTGAAGATTTGATCCCAAACAATTTCATTCTCTCAAATGTTGGTACGTGAAACTATATTAATGATTAAGATTACAGATCCACATTTTTTAATGGTAGAGGTGGCTATCAGTCAACCCCAGCTCCTGGACAGTCACTAGAACATGAAAGAAGGACTGGTTGTTATGGGTTCTGTTTCTGTAATGGCTTCCAGGTACCCTTGCTTCGTTAGGTACCTTGCAGACACTGGTATATTTATTTTATAGACAACTTGACAAATGCAAATGATGCAGAAAGTTCCCTCAACGATGGTTGGTGACAGACCCTGAGCCAAACTCATTCTCAGGTTAGTCTTACAATTATGCCTGTCAAAGTCAGGGAAAAAAAACCCTAAAATGGGTCATGAAGAGTTGTGACTCAATAAGTTAACCCTTAAGGCGTCAACCCAAACTAACTTTTTCGTATGAATTATTTTCTTTAGATATGCACCAATTTGACAGCATTGAATTTCAAACAACAAATTCATGCATATTGCAGATAGTGATGGAAAATAGAAAACGAGCGGATAAATCAATCCGTACAACCTAACTTTGTTATTAGGATTAACCATGTCGCAAGTATTGATTCATGTTAGTTTATAAAATGTAAGAATAAAAATATTATAAAATTTCAGTGTTACCTAAGGTAAACTTCTAAAGCAACCCAACCAAGTTCGTCCCTTTTTGCTCTATGACGAAGTGCCTCCATCCATTAGTGGTTCTCACATAACTCTTTGCCAACAAACAAGGTTTAAAACTGTGAAACACATTACATGATTGTAAACTGCATTGTCACAACAATCACAATCACTTAAAACCATCAGCTTGCTAATAATGCGTCTAGCACAAACAACCACTTATGTTTTAGTCAAAGTCTCTTAGATGGATCTGTTGGACCTTAACCACAACATTTATCAGCTGTCCTGCCATTTTTGGCTTGTTGTCTATTTATAAACTCAAAGTTGATTATGGTCAATCGTCCCATTTAGAAGGTGAAATATTCGCGTGTTCCCTAGAGTTTCTTGAGAAATGTATTTCTAACTTCTCTCACCACGTGGTCAAGATACCTGGAACAACTAATAGGCATCGCACAACAGTTGGTTCCCTTATGAGATCAATCATTTAGTAGGTCGACTAGTGCGCATCAGCTAGTTGTAATGCAAGTCGAACAACCACAAAACAAAATAAGGATACAATCAAAATTTGATTGAAAATAACTCCCTCTGTATTATTTACGTAACGTGGAACTTTTAACAAAAGAGAAGAAATTCGTTAGAACGATTACAGAGAAGAAGAAAAATCCAGAATACTTCACTCTCCCCCTCTCTCCTAGCCATCATGGCCCTATATTTAGTTGAGGTCCCCACACGTAATCCCGCAGACGTGAATTCGTTATTTTCTCCCTTTTGCTAATCTTCTGCTCCTCCTTAGGTTTGTTAGCTGCCGGCTGTCCCACTTTTTCAACAAACTTCTCAGACGTAATTTTTTCCACTTTTGCCCTTGCCTCATTTTCTGATACAACATTGCCGCCTCCATTAAAAATAACCTTGTCCTCAAGGTTCTCTGTCTGATACGCTTCTTTAGCTGATAGCCAATCTTCCCAAGTAGCATGCCTCTCTTCCAAACCTTCCCATTTAATTAACACCTGTTGCACTTCTTTTCCTCCTTTAATAATATTTCGTGTTTGGAGAATAGCCAGTAGGTTGCGGGAGTGGACCAACTTCATTAGTCATCATGGTCGAGAGGAATATATGGTTTGATATGTTCACCATAGCACGGCTTCAAGCTGAGAACAGTGAAATACGGGATGGATTTTGGCATGATTTGGCAGCAACAACTTATAAGCAACGGGGCCCACCTTTTTTATAATTGGAAATGGTCCAAAGTACCTCATTCCCGGCTTCACGGTTTCTTCTTAATGCCACAGAGTTTTGTCTATAAGGTTGAAGCTTGATCAACACCATATCCCCTTCGTTGAACTCAATATCCCTTCTCTTTCTATCGGCATTCTTCTTCATTTCGTCTGTGAGCTTTCATTAAGTTGTGTTTCGAGTTGAGATAGAATCAAATCTCTCTGTTGCAACATCTCCCTAAGTTCCAAAGGATCCTTGTTGTCCAAAACATATTTATCCACTCGAGGTGCTTCTCTCCCATACACAACTTGAAAAGGAGTCAACCATCATGCGAGATGATAGGATGTGTTGTACCAAAATTCAGCCCATGATAAAAACTTTAACCAAGCTTTTGGATTATTATATGTGAAGCAACGCAAATACATCTCTAAGCAACGATTTACTGACTTCCGATTGGCCATCGTTTTGCGGGTGATAGGCAGTGCTCATAGCTAGTGTGGTGCCACTCAACTTGAGCAGTTGCTTCCAAAGCTGACTAATAAATACTTTATCTCCGTCGAGAGACTATAGTTCGGGGAAAACCATGTAATTTAGCCACATTTTTCATGAAAGCATCCGCAACTTGCACACTAGAATAATTTTCTTTTAATGGTACAAAGTGAGCATATTTTGACAATCTATCTACAACCACATATATCATTGTGAAGCCAAAGGATGGTGGTAACCCCAGTGATAAAATCCATAGCGATGTCCTCCCATATTTGATTTGGGATCGGTAAAGGTTGTAATAAACCTGCGGGTAAAACATTAGAAGCCTTTGCTTGTTGGCGAGATAAGACATGTCTTTACAAATGTCGCAATGTCTTGTCTCATTCCCCTCAATAAAGCGAGAAGCAATTCGAGCTATTGTTCTTGTTATTCCCGCATGTCCACCAATAGGAGATGAGTGAAATTCTTGAAGAATTTGTTGAATCATGGGGTGTTTAGGTGGCACCACTAATTTTCTATTCCGAGTACAACAAGTCATCTTGAGTAGAGTACATAGGATGAGGTGGGTTTCCTTGTCGACATTCTTTTTTAATCGCATTCAAGGTGGCATCCGTAGCGATAGCTTCACGTAATGCTTGACAAGATTTCTAATTTTGGTTGGGACCAGGCCACAAAGAAGGATCTAGAAAGAGCATCCGCAGGGATGTTTTCTTTCCGGGTTTGTACTCTACTTGTAAACTCATATCCCAACAATTTATGCAACCACAATTGTTGTTCGGGTGTTTGTATTGCACTGTTCGGTGATGCTTCTCAAGCTTTTTGATCGGTTCGATGATGAACCGATGTCCAAGCAAATAATGCACGAACTTTGCAATAGCCTCTGTGACGGCATATAATTCTCTTGAATACTGCTGACTTTTTACGTAAAGTGGGGTTGAGCTTTTTTGAAAAGAAAGCTATGGGGTGATTATTTTGACTCAAAATAGCTCCAATACACGTTCGGATGCATCTGTTTCTAATACAAAAGGTTGAGAAAAATCGGGTATAGCAAATGCTTGGTGCATTTGTTAAAGCCACTTTAAGAGCTTCAAAAGCGAGTTGTGGCTTGAGAGTCCCACTTAAAACAATCCTTTTTGAGAAGTTGTGTCAAAGGACTAGCAATTGTAGCATATCCTTGAATAAACTTCCTATAGTATCCAGTAATGCCCAAGAATCCACGTAGTTGTTTCAAATTTGTAGGTTGTGGCCAAGCTAACACTGCTGCCACCTTGGAAGCATCCATTGCCACCCTCGTTCACGATCTTGTGTGCCCCAAGTAGTCCATTTGGAGTAACCCAAATGAGCACTTTGATAGTTTAGCATATAATTTATGCTTCCTTAGATTTTGTAGAACCACCTCTAAGTGTTGTAAATGATCGAGGCCAAGAAGAGTCTGTAGATGAGTATATCATCAAAAAAAACAAGGACAAATTTCCTTAAGAATTCTCGAAAGATGTCATTCATCAATGATTGAAACGTGGTTGGTGCATTAGTTAAGCCAAACGGCATGACTATCCATTCGTAGTGGCCATGATGGGTTCTAAAAGCTGTTTTGAACACTGTCGTCCTTGTTTACCAAAATTTGGTGGTATCCGGACCTTAGATCGAGCTTGGAAAAAAATTTTGCCCCAAATAATTCATCTATCAATTCATCCACTTGTAGGCATGGGAAAACTATCTTTGATAGTTATTGCATTTAAAGCTCATAATCTGTGCAAAACCTCCATGTACCATCTTTCTTTTTCACTAGTACAATTGGAGAAGAAAAAGGGCTATTGCTAGGTGTGATCAACCCTTCCTGTAACATCTCACTAACCATCTTCTCAATTTGTTCTTTACGGCTATGGGGGTACCTATAAGGCTTGACTTTTATTGGTTTTGCATTTAGTAACAAAGGAATATTGTGGTCATGGGTTCTATTAGGTGGTAATCCATGTGGAACATCAAACACATCTTTATAAGTATGTAATAACATTGCAATATCGGGTTCACATTATCGGGAATTTGTACCCACTGATCATCCGAAGCGATACGGTAGCTGCATCTGCGGTGTAAATACCTCGGCAATAGCATGTGTTCTATTCATTACTGCGGATGTGATGAAGCGAGCACTGTATCGGAAGCTTGGAGTGATCCCCATGCAAAGTGATAAATTTTCCACCTATATAGAACTTAAGAGTCAAAGCGCGTAGTCCGATATGTGGGGTCCTAAGGTTGCTAACCAAGCAGCCCCAAGTACCGAGATCTGCACCGAGATGGGTAAAAGATAGACGAGTAGCACGTAGCATGTGACCTTGAATTTGAACCTCCACGTTTTTACCATTCCTTCAAGCGTTAATGCGTGACCATTCCCTACCAAAACTTGAAAACCCGAAGTTGATTCAACGAGTAATTTCGGAGAATTTGCAAGTCGCGGTTGTAAAAAGTTATCGGAGCTTCCACTATCAAGTAATATCACGAGCTGCAACACCATTGATAGTGCCTTGAAATTTCATAGTTCCAACACCGGCTCCCCCTTTTAGAGCACTAAAAGATAAATGATGATCTGTATACTCCTCCTGCATTTTGCTAGCATCTTCATCAGGTGGATCTGGTTCCACAACATTTTCCTCATCATCCTCCATATGTAATAACAGATATTTTTTGTTAGGACAGCGGTGCAAAGGAGTGAACGTATCATTACAAGTAAAACATAAACCCTTTTCACGTCTTAATTGCATCTCGGCGAGTGGACATGTTTCGACATTTGAATATCGAGGTTTTTGTGCTATGGTTTGGGTATTGGTAGGATTAGGTAGTAATGGCGGAAGGCTACTGGTTTTGTGGGTTTGGCTTGAAGGCTGAAGAGTTGGATTTGGAGAATGGTTGGTTTGGGTAAGTTTTGTGTTTAGGGCTATATTTCTCTTCGTACGGTTTTGCTAACGATCTTGTTCGAACCATAGACGTAGGATCTTGTGCAATAACATCTCTACGTATATCGGGTTTAAGGCCACTAATGAAACAATCTAATAATGCATCCGGAGTAACCCCATATACACGGTTTGCCAATGCCGTAAATTCTCGGTAATAATCCTGAGCCGAACCCAATTGATTTAGTTTAAACGGGGTAGAACGTGGGCATTCATATGGGGAGGGGCCAAATTCTATTTCCAATGCTCTGGTAAAACCCACCCATGAATGAAACGGGTTGTTCTTAGTAAGCATTTGGAACCAGGGGATCACATCCGCATCCATATGCACCGCAGCAATAGTCAAACGTTGTTCATCAGGAGTATTATAATATGTAAAAAACTGCTCTGCCTTAAAAATCCATTCTAGAGCATTAGATCCATTGAATCTGGGGAAATCCAGTTTGACGTTGCGAACCTGAAACGGGGGTGTAGGAGAACCTGAAGTCAGGGAACCAGAAGGGTCCGAAGCAGCAGCGTTTAGATTCAGGGACTGCATTCCCGTTTCTATGTTTTCAAAGCGGTTTGAGTATTCCACATGACGCTTCTCCATCATTTCGAGTAATCGCTTAACATCAGCTGATAAATTCTTGACATCAGAAGTTAATTCTTTCAGACGTGTGTTTTCCGCCATGAAAGCAGAATGAAAGCACCAATGTAATGCAAGTCGAACAACCACAAAACAAAATAAGGATACAATCAAAATTTGATTGAAAATAACTCCCTCTGTATTATTTACGTAACGTGGAACTTTTAACAAAAGAGAAGAAATTCGTTAGAACGATTACAGAGAAGAAGAAAAATCCAGAATACTTCACTCTCCCCCTCTCTCCTAGCCATCATGGCCCTATATTTAGTTGAGGTCCCCACACGTAATCCCGCAGACGTGAATTCGTTATTTTCTCCCTTTTGCTAATCTTCTGCTCCTCCTTAGGTTTGTTAGCTGCCAGCTGTCCCACTTTTTCAACAAACTTCTCAGACGTAATTTTTTCCACTTTTGCCCTTGCCTCATTTTCTGATACAACACTAGTTCCCGAACTGCCCCAGACTAAGATGATAAGATGATGAGGCTTAGAGTTCGGATATTCTCAAAGACCAAAGGTATGAAACCAAATAGGAATATCTTGGGAGGGTACAACTTCCCATTTTTCCCACACTCCTACTTCTCTAATAATCACTGTCACTAAGTTTAACAACTGATTTAGTTACAAGAGGAAAGAAAGTGAAGTTTTTCTTCTATAGATCCCATCATAACATTATTGACATTTCGCCAGTGAGTTGATCTGTTTTCCATAGACATGATCATGTGAAAAATCTCACACAATCGTATTATTTACATATCCAAGTCTATGGTGACAGTTGCACAAAATAAACATATATCAACAGAGTAATTTAATTAATCCCCGCGCATTAGACAAACCTGAACATGAAGCATGCAAACACACCTTCACAAGTACCGAGATATACTTCCATCCTCTTTCCATCAATACGCGGCAACACCAACCGATTCACAGCCTAATTCAGGAGCATCGACGTCCACCCACACCTCGTTTTTGCGACTCACAATTCGGATCGGAGTATTGTACTGTGCAATTGAGTAACCACGGCGAGTGGTGGAGGGAGCCCAGGGAGAGCGACTGAGGCTGGTGGCAAGCTTCTCCGCCTCCTTGACAATCCGCCCATCCTTGGCGAATCCAGAGAACTTTCTAACCGCAACGCAGTGGGTGGTGAATTCATAGGGTCTGATATTGAGTTCTGGAAGCGGCAGCGGTGGGTTTCCTTGGAACTTAATGGGTAAGTATAAACTGACGTAGTAGCCTTGGGACTGGAGGGGACCGGCTCCAGGGACAGTGGTTGTCAAGACGGGAACGGTCATTGGGATTCGTGAGAAGTTGAGGTTGGCTCCTTCTGTAAACTGGAACAACCTGGGAGATTGTGAAATTGGGTTAGTTAGTTATTGTGAGGGGAAAGAAGAATGATGAGATTACCTGTGGAAACCATCCCAGGTTGCTTTCTCGAAGGAGATGTCGAGAGCAGAAGCGGCCATCCAAACGGAGGTTCTATAGAGCCTGATCTCGAAATCGGACTCCGAGTGAACCACTGTATACTGTGGAGACTCCGATGCACCGTAAACGATAACCAGACATATTGCGTTGACTACTATGCGCAGTAACGTTACTCCTTTCTTCATTCTGCTTTCCTTTCCCCCTCTCCTCTCTTCCTATTTGTTACCAACCTCTCTTGTCTTTTCTTTTTCTTATTTTGGTGATGTAACCTACAACATCTCCATCTTGTTTTTTACAAAATCAATCCTAACATTTCCCAATAATCATAGATTAATTACTACTTTTTTCATAGATACTTATTCATCTTTGTATTAAATATATATATATATATATATATATATATATATATATATTAAATCTATTATTGTAATGGATGAATATGTTTCATATTCTACCCAAACAATAAATTTGTTTTACTATTCTTAATATCGTCATTATTGTCTAAATTAATAAACAAGTGTTGATTACAATAATCTATCTGCATTGCACATATAATAAAAGATATATTGACTTAAATTCATATATACATGAATAAATAACCTTAAAATGTATTATGACATAAATACAAATATCCAAATTCTTATAAGTTATTTACTAAATTCTAAAATCATAATTTGAGATAAAACCGTAATTTGATATCAAACCCGACAACAAACACTTAAAACACGCTATCCATGTAATAAAATTTGGTTGCCAAAAGAAACCAACAAATATATGGAAATTGAAGAACACATTTTGTTATGGAAATACAAAAGATGAAAGATAAAACTACAAATTGGAATTGGATTTGGTATTAACAATTTCAATATGATGGATAAATCAAATTGAACAAAGCAGAGAAATGGAGAAATCAGTGGATTGAATAAAGTAGAGGAATGAAGAGATCACCAAATTAAATGAAACAAAAGAAAAATAAATCAGACTAAACAAATCCTTAAATCATTAATGAAATAGAGAAATAAAGAAACCATCAGAATATTAAAAAAAAAATTACATTTGCATATTAATCCTTAGAATAAATAAAAAGAAATTAAAATAAATAAATAAACACAGTGACATTAACTAAATGGAGACATGAGAAGGACACCAAAATAATACAATTCTACACCCACAAAAAAAAAAAGTCACAACACAGAGTTAAACCGAAAAGTGTAATGAGAAGCCATGGGAACACGATTTTTCGGATCGGAGTTCGATCCATATCAATGTCTAATGTTGCTTCTCTCAGAATCAACGTTATCTCACTTTTGGATTCCCTTTCTCTGAAACCTGGTATTTTCGTCTCATCTTTATCTTAATTTACAAATATTTTATCTTTTGCTTTGCTGTATTTTTAAAGAAAGATGTCATGGTGAGAAACTTTCCATGTGACATTGGATTAGTCTCTCGTCAAAACATTAACGTCACAGTTGAGATCATAATCATTGATCGTTTCAACTGAAAATGCAGAGGGATGTAAATATTTTGTTCAACTTCTATTATTCGGTGCCTCGTAAAATTTTGATAACTTCTGAGAAAATAAAAAAAAAATTACCATTTTAATTTTTTTTCTTCTTTGGTTTCATGATATAAGTCTTTACATATCACTAATTTTCAATTTCCTCTTTAAATATTTCACACAATTAAATATTCAAAATTTGAAATCACCAGTTAATTGAGAACAACCCAGTGTGAATTGATACAGATGTTCCAATCATTCTGTTCTTCTATTGCTTTGAAACGCAAGCACAAACATATGGAGATATAAGATTTTGATATTTTACTTGAAACAAACTGCATATGGTATTTGTCATTTTGACTAGAATGGGAAATTTTTTGTCAAATAGGTGCAACGCTGGTCCAGAACTGTGGGGATAGTGAAATTGGAAGAATTGTGATTCGGGCTGCTAAAGAGAGGAAATATAAGACCATAAGCATAATTGATGACAAACCAGGAACTCCTGATATCATCGAAGAATTAAAAGCACTTGGTGGAGACATTGTTGTACCAGAAAGTTATACAAAGACCTGGTATTTTATTTTATTTTTTTACCTCGTACCAGAAAGTTACACAAAGACATTGTTGTTTCTTATGATAAATTTTGAGAATACATTTGCCTTTTCATTCGTATTTTTACTAATAATTTCAATTTTATCTTGGTACGAAGTTTTCTCTCTTTTGTTCATTGCATATATCTGGAATGGTTTGCACTTCTGGCTTTGTATCTGCTAATTAATTGAAAAATAGCTACCAAGTTCAAACTTCATTATCTTCTAAAATATAATAAAAATGTTTACTGAAACAGTAGAAAATTCTGGGAACAAGTTGTTTTGAATTTAATAGGAACTAAGAACATGTTTGGTATTTTCATAACGAAGCTTAGTTATCTTTGGAAACCACACAGGGGGTTTTGAAATGTCTTGCAGTTGGTATCACTATTTTGACACTGAACTTTAGCATTGTTTTCCTTTCCTAACGCCAGTAAGTCTAGATGTTATTCTGTACACACACCAAACATTGCATTAATTTTTTTTCTCTGGTTTCTGCCACTACTAGGTATATGCAGCGTCTAGTTGGAGAGTTGAGTCCTTCAGCAGGTTTGAACTTCAGTGATGGATACCAAGCAACAGCTGTAGTCAAAGCTGTAGCTAATGGTGGAACATTCCTCACGTACGGCAAGAAGTTACCTCAGCATGTTGTCTTTGAAGATGCAGATCATAAACCAGTTGAGTGGACAGCTTTCCTCAAAGAAAAGAACCTCAAACTCAAAGCTTTTGGCATATAGGGAAGGCACTTCAACATTGTTTTCCAAGGAAAGAGTCAGTGAATATTGTCAAGATTTTCTCCCTTTATTATTCTTGCTCTCTTTGTGATTAAGTGTTCCTTTATCTGTAGTTTTCATTATAAGGTACAGTTCTTTGGCGTAATTGAACTCATTTTCGTAGAGGCCAAATATTAAATTTTAAAATGAAAGTAATTTCTCATCATAATCCTTGATATTGTACGCTTTTGACAATTTTAGGTCTAAGATTATTAAAATCCATCACTAGTATCTAAAATTCTTAATCATCCATCACTTCGTTATTAAGAACGTTGAACCAAGTACAGCACAAATGTAGTTTTCCTTTAGTGACATTTTCTCCCAGTCCCACTTTCTTTTTATGCACAAGACTTTTAATTGCCAATTTTAGAAGTTTTCAAGTACTTTCTCCCCAAATCTATCCATTATTGAAAGATAAAATGGAAAAATAAAGACTTTAACTCCTATTCAAACCAAACAATATGTCTCTCCCCTCTTTCTCTTCTATTTCTTTCGGACTACACACTATATTATACTAAATAATTAATCATTTGTATTATGGCATACGTCCTATATAGTATGCATTTAAAACACAAGTTTGTACTTCCTGTACAATAGAAATTGGTAAGAACATATGGTAAAATATGCCAAAACGGAAGCAATTAACAGAAAATAAATTTTTGCTCATCGGATGGCAAATCTCAGTATATGTGAACAGTCTCTTCAGCATCGCACTACAAACATGGTATTATTCTGAACCGGAGCTCAGCACTATGTCAACCCTCTTAACTCAATTGTACATGTTTTTCTCATAATCCTACATATCATGCAACCGAACTAGGATGGGGTGCCATAGCAGCACTGTTTTTCTCAAGTTTCTCTCTTTAGTTCTTTTAAGTTTTTAAATAAATAAATGTTGTGGTGCTGTTGTCAGATCCACTTATTGGTCTTTCAAAGTCCCAAGATAAATGCTTAGTAAGAGTGTGTTTGTAAAGTTTGCTACAAAGCTTTATTGCATCCAACTTTCAATCTCTGAAGTTTGGTGGCAAAGTTTCGTCTGTAAAATATTCCTTCCTAACAGTCTGTGCAGAGCAAAATCTCACCTGTAAAATAGGCGGGGAGGGGGCAGAAGAAAGAATTAGAAGAAAATAAAGATGGAGCAGTACAAAGAGTTGATATCTGACGCCAAATAGTGCTGAAATTAATCTTTATGGTTTATCCAACTTCCAAAATACGAGCCAACAATCTTCGTCCTATATCACATAAATCATATCACATTCAGCTAATTGACTTAATCACAACGGAAAGCCAATTAATTACATGCTTGCCATCCCAAAGAAATGAGGGAACTCGTGGATGAGAACATTGTGGTAGGAACAGCAGTAGCTCAGTACAATTGATCCAGTCATTTCAGAAGCTACATCTGAAGTTGGACTTTAGCAAGGACGATATCAGGGCCAACCGCAGCATCAAGCATCTCTTAGGTTGGGATGACTATGTGCCCTGAAGATTCCTCAAATCTGGCCTAGATCTTTAGCGCTGCGGTATCAATCTCCTATGGGTTGTTGTTATGTTTGTTATTGCATTCCTCTATTTTCTGTTATGCTTTAGGTTATTTTCCCTTATATATAACCTGCTGTAATGAATTATGAGGAATGAACATAAAGTATTATTCATCTCTTCTCTTTAATTATTCTTGAGAGGCAATATTCCTGGCGTCTAATTCAGTAACTCTATCCAATCACCTATCACATTGCCACTACCCCTGACGAATATCACACGGAAATGCCTGAGCCTGATGGGAAGGGTCTACAACATGAACCCTAAACCTCAAATTCAGAAGGTGAAATGCATGGTCAGCTACCACCACTATAGCTACTCTTCAGCAGGCAATGAGCTCCTATTTCTGTGATCTTAGATCAAATAACAATGAACAATACTTATTTTTACCTTAACTAAGAACCCAAACCAGTTCAAATTCCAAGGAAATTAACAAAAATTGGTAAGGTCCACCACAAACCCTATTGGCCCTAGCCCTCTGCTTCCACCAGATAACTCGCTTTTTTATCCTCACATTTTGAGCTTCAACATATCGGGTCAGGTTATAATATGGGGTAACCCATTAAGAAAATTCAAGGCATCTCAAGCTCTCAACACTTCAATATAAAGGGAAAAAAACATTTTTCTATATATCAATAAACATACAATTAAGATGAGAAACACTTACCAGAGAAGCATATGATTTTAACAAGGGCTTGACTAGCTGCCAAATTGGCTTAAAAACAAAAGGTGCATCCACAAATAATACTTGACCCAATCGCTTGGGATAGTAATAGTAGAATACATCAAACTACAAAAATAAAGAAATATATTAGTTGTTGTGCTGCTCTTTATACAATTTCTTTCTAGTGAGGCACTAGAGTTCAAAATACATTAAGTGATGACAATACAGACTTCTTCACTAAATTATATTTGGCAAGTAGTAAAAAATATTACCAGAAATGTCAAGAATTTAAGATCAGCATTTTCTGTTCTGAAATCTCTGAGATCAACTATTCCAAGTATTTGTTCTTGCCCAGTTGGAAGCTTACTCAATGCCTTCTCAATTAAGAAAACACACAGCCTCTCATCGTCTGCAGGGTCCAGTGCCTGTGACATAATTATTTGTCCATATTGTCACAAACAGTTTTCCAAAGGTCATTCATGAGGATCTAATCCATAAACTAAAAGATAAAAATGCAGTATGTTTACTATGTACAACAGAAAGTGTGAGATAATTGACAAAAATTGACCCCATTTGTGCCATGTGACATCAAGTTGCACAACTTCCTACAGAAATTTGTAGCAAAATTAGGCAATCACATTAACTTCCCCAAACTTAAGATCTATGATACAGAGTAGGTCGACCAATTGCAAGTGATGTAGGGCTAGAAGCAGAAAGAGGAATAGGTATTCAATCATAAATCAGAGTACCAAGGTCAAATTCCGAATTACACAAAATTATTGTCGGAAAAATTGAAAAACATATCCTTCAGTGCAAAGCAAATTTTAGCTGCATGTATTTACATTTTCTCGGATCAATTTCGTTCAACGGAACATAAAAATAACAAGGAATATAAAGTAATAAAGCACAGTAAAATACTAACAACTACCACTTTTACTCTTACCATAGGAATATGCTTTGATCCAACCACCACAAGCACAGGTCTGTCATTGATATCTAGAAAGTCATGTACATATCCTTTTCCAGTTTGAGCAGCCTCTTTAACAGTTTCTTCGGTCAATTTAGACACCTCGAAATCTTGACGCCATTTCTTATAGAGTAGAAAGCAAAGTAACAAGTTGAGTAGACAGACTTTTGAATAAAAATTAATCTAAATTAACACGAACAAGATTGATTATGATCTATCTGAAATGGATCAAATTAACATGTTTGAGGTGAACTTTTAACTTGGATTTTCCTATGATGACTAGAAAGTATGAGTGTCTTTCACAGGTATACAACCATCTCCATGGTGTGTCAAGCTTGCCGGAGTGTTAGCCGAACTCAAAAGACCTTGGACCTCAAATGCTTAGAGCACACCATGGTCAAAACCCACCCGAGCAAAACCCAAGTTTACATTCCACATTGAACACGTCAACAAGGTTCATTTTCCGACAGATCAAATTACACGGGAGAGTTGAAAATTAAATTTGTCAGATTCCCTTAATTTCTACCTCCTCAAACAAGCAGAATCTAAACAATGGTAGTGATGTGTTGTGAATAAAATTTAAAACTGCTATAGTTACGAGAAGAAGGATACAACGGCTTTAGTCAACTTGGAAATAGCATCTTCCACAGAAAACTTGCGATCTTTGAGAAACCACAGTATCATATCTTCGTCATCCCTTCCATTTTTTCCAACAGGGAGGCTGTGGTGTTCTTTCTCAAGCTTTTCCTTCACTGAATGAACTAACTGCATTTTTTTTTAAATTAAGAGAGTAATGAACATGACGAGGATATGCGCTAAAGTAAAATTCAAGCATTTGAAATTATCCGAGCCTTTTAACTGTGAGTGTGCACTTAAAAGAGAAAAAAAAGTGCGAAATGCAATGGATGGAAAATTGAAAAAGAGGCTATTACCTTGCGCGAGTCGAGTTGCGGTTGCGAGTGGAGGCTACTGCATCGAACAGCCAAATTGGTCCTGACGGAAAGGTTTGAAAGAGGAAGAGGAACGGCGATAGCTGGGTACAGAGTACGCACCACCGTCATTCTTTCTATCTATTCGGTGCTGTTCCTTTCTATTCATCTCTCCATTTTTATTATATTCTATAATTTGTAACAAGGATATTTGATGTACATATTTTGTTTTTTTAGTCTTTAATATATATTTAATTTTCAATAAACTATAAATAAAAAAATGTAATTTGTTTAAAAGTTTGACCTCTACAAAATAATTGCACTTTTTCTTTCTCTTCATAAATAATATTCCTTTTCTCCATAAGTAATTATTTAGGAGTATCTCAATAATCATATTTTTAATATATATGCAAAGCAATAATTTATTATTAGAACATATTTAAAAAACATAAGATATTAAATCGGATTAAGATGAGTTATTTAATTTTGAACTTCATTGTATAATTTGATGTAACTAAATCCAAAACCTGACAATATATTCATTCTTAAGAAGGACCACAGTAAAAACTGTGACATTAATAAAACGTAAAGACATTTTAATACATTATTTACTTAAAACATGAGCATAAAATAAATGTAGAATATTTTTAAATATTCATCGATCATTTTCTATTCTACCCTATGCAACAAGTTAAAAGCACCGTTGAAAGCATTCAAGGCGGTGTAATTAATGTTCTTGAACTTGAATAGTAGTACTTCAACTTTGCGTTCAAATGTAACAAATTTTCTATGTATTTGGTTTTGATGTTCAAGTTTCTCAGTCAATTGATTCCTACATTGCTTTTATTATATGTGCCCGGTTATGTTTGCATGCCACCAACGTTTTCTTATTTTCATTTTGACCGCGTTTGAGACGTTCACCATCAACTTTACAGCTGGAGCTGAAATTACAGCAATGACGAAGGTACAGCCTTTTCCTGTTTGCTGCATGCACAGAGCGAAACCAGTGGGCCCTGATTTCATAAACTCCTCCTTTATAATTCATACTCCATTTCAGTAACCCTCTAGCTAGCTACCAGAGAACCAGGGACCCTGTTGCGGTTAAGGTGGAAACTTTGAAAGAAAAAGTGGAGAATAGAATACGAAACATGAAAAGTTAGGTTAGTGTAGCATGGGAAATGACAGTGAAACTGGATAACCTGCAAACACGTTGCCTGCATGATCTTCAAGGGATGGTGGGTGCATGCTGGTTTTTAAGTCAGTATACAACAAAGCCAAATTTACTGAACAGGAGAATGTTGTCAAGAGAATATTACCGTACGAAAATTGACCTGTCACAATAATATCGACAATCATCCTTGCCTGTATTTATAGATCGTATTGAAACCAGTGATATCATCGATCATGACATTGGCACCTGATACTCCTGCATACCAAAGTGGAGGTCGAAGCTCCAAACTATGCAAACCCATTTGTAACGCAGTAACAATATGAAAATGTGTAATCAACTGAATATAATCAGGTTGGATTGAGATAGTCTAGTTTAAATAATTAACTCAAACCAGTTTTTTTAAAAGATTTTAGACCAACCCAACCAAGCCCGTAAGAGAATTAGACCATAGTTTATGCACAGAATCTTTGGCGTTATGAAAATATATAGAGATTAATTTCTTGTGTGATAAACAGAATCGTACCAGTAGGCCGATCAACTTGAGGTTCAATATCAAGGAGGTGAATCTAGTCTTGCAGGTTCCCAATCTGAATTATGTTTTGAGAATATGCTACAAGAGAGGAACATGCTCCAGGAGAGGCAGGATTTCTCCAGGATGACATTTTTCTGAATGTTTTAAAAGGCGACATGAGAAAGTATTTTTTTTACAGCTTGAGTCACTGCAACAATGTCTCCTTCATGTCCTAGTCTGTGAAAACTTATTCTTAGTTAGATTCAATGTTATTGATAGGATTCGGAGAAATAAATAATAAAAGGTCCAAATTTCAAGTACAGGCACACTAAATTTGGCCTCAATGGTATAACACATAACTTGGTAAGATCAAGGTCCAGGGGTTAGTTCAATTCTCCATGGGGCACAACACTGCTTTCCCCAGATTTATAAATAAGGGTAGCCAGGGGAATTTCACTAACTATGAAAATTGGAATCAGATGCAACAAACAATCAAGTATAACTGGTTTCAAAAATAAGTATTCAAAAATCAAACATGCAAGCATTACAGTCCAGAGGCTAAATTAGTAGCGGTCAGCAAAAGTTATCTTTCATTATCTAGTAACTGATATGAGATCCGTAAAAATCAAGAAAAAAAAAAGAAGAGAAGAATAATGAGGAAAGAAATCAGTTAAAGTAACTGAGAATGTTCATAGCAATTATATTTATACTACAAAATTGGATCTTCTTTCTTGTATGTTTGTTCAAACAATCATTTATACAAGCAAGTTAAGTTATGAATATTAAAGGTACCAGAATTGAATCATAGGCACATATTTTTTACTTAACAGATCACATAATTCTTCATTTCAGAATTCCCCAAATATGACTTGATGACTTTTAGGTACATAAATAGTTTCATGTTACATTAATTGAAAATGCAACTGCGAATACATGACAATCCCCCTCAACTACTTTTCATTAATATTGTGCAATTGGTTCTAAAACTTTGGGGATGAAAGTTAGTTTCCTCCTGTTGATGTGTCGTTTTAAAGTTGAGTGAGCCAAGCAAATAAACAATGATTTCTAAATCATTCTTCAAAAATGAAATTATGCAAAGGACAGATACAAGAGCACTGAAATATTATTAGGTAGAACGACGCCTTACAAGAGTATGAGATGGCAATGATGAGCGAGGAGCAGAATCCCTCCTACTTGGCATTGGTAGCTTAATTTGACTATAATAAACAATCAATAAAAGTAATAGGAGCACAGCAAAGACAAAAGTAGGAGAAGACGTGACCTTGACATTCTTTAAAGTTGAAATAATAGCATGGGCATTGTGGCTTGTACGGTTTAACCACAAAAATTCGCCTTCAATCAATGCAGCTCCTAAAGTCCACGAAATGTCACCTGGACCAAATACCGTTTCAACATCACCAAGACACAGACCATAATCAATCAATGATGCCATGTAAGCCACCCGGAAACAAAATTGTCCAGCATAATTTGGATTGTCAGACACACTTCTCAAGCCAGACCATAAATTTGAACATATTTGCTTGCCTGACTCCCAAATCATTGATATGTTGGCTCTTGGGCTCAAATTTAGCTTGTTGTAGACAAAAAAGAAGCCAGATAAAGCATGAAACTTGATTGGGCGTGCAACAGCCGTTAAATTAAGTATATCAGTGCCTGGAAGGTACATAATAAAACACAGTAAGTTCCTAGCATCCCATAATAGAAACAAAACCTTTAACAGCACCCCATATTCCATGTTCCTTTGGTTATCTGGGAGCTAGGGTTGTGCAAAGTCAACATTTACCTTAAAGAAAAGGTGGACTGTATGCTAATCTTAGTCATCAAAAGTGATATAGTTTAGTTTCACAGAATCCACATTCAACAGGTGAATCTTTTGGTATGATCATAAATGGGCTGGGTTGATGTTCCCTTATTGTTTGATCTATTTTTCATTTTGGTGATTTTACAAAGTAGAATTTTGGAGATCAGATGAGGTTAAGAAAATATAAGTAACTACATATAGCCACTTGGCATAAACCAAACCACCGGATAACATTTGCCATGCTGAAATAATCGTAATTTCCAATTAACATATATATTTTACAAACTTCAGGAAGGCCGAGAAAAAATTTTGTAAATCAAAAGGCGTGAATAAATAAAGTAAAAAAAACTACAATGCAAACAAATAATTATACCCTTACCAATACGAGAAAATGAACTAGCATGACAATTTTGGCTAACTGTCAGATGTGACACTTTGGAATCACTCAAGTTCATGGCAGCAGCAATAGCTAGTTCTTTGCATTGATCCCAATCAGGTTCTCCAGTAAGACGAAATGAATAAAGTTCACTTTCCTGGTGTTGGCTATGAGTTTTCTGATAAGTGGAAGACAATCCAGAGCAAGAATGGCATGTATAGTTTTGTATTAAAGTTGATACTAGACAAGGATGTCTGAGCTCAGAGATACTAGCAGTCCTTTCCTCACTTTGATTGTTTCTGAGCATAAGAACTGTCCTATCAAACGCTTCATTTAAGCCAAATGCCGGCAATGAGGATGCCATAATCCGATGCTCCATTGATCTGAGCCTTGATCTCATCACGTGCTTATCATCACCTGAACCATCTATCTCTACCACAATCTGCAAAGACGAGCCACCCAAATCAACAAGTCCCAAAGTGGGAGACTTTGGAATGTTATCTTCAAAGGTGCCCATTTTGTAGTTCAAAGCCACCCAGCCATAATAAGCTTCCTCATTCCCACTCAAAACCTTTATCCAGTTCTTGCTCATCATAAAGCTATGATCTTTCACAACAACCTCAATATCTCCCAAGATCCTATCAGCATCCTCCCTGGGGAGCCCCCTCAATCCAGCAGTAGCAAACACAAAAGCAGGAGTATCGCCGCGCATTTCGCGCGGCACCACTTGTTCTGCCCACACAATCAAAGGCTCCAAAGCCTGTCTCACTCCTAAAGAATCATTAACAAAGTTGTGTAACCCAGGTTCAGTTTGCATACAGTGATATTGACAAGAACTTTTCCAAAGTGAACTCCTCCTGGTCGTATTTGTAAGACATTATGTAATTTTCCTACGTTATTAATTCATTATAGAAAACTACTCTACAGGATCTTTAAATTATTGATTTTCACATTTGCATACATCAATACATGAATCTAGTAAGAGAACTAACCTTGATCCATGAGAATCCTTTCTTGATCTTTTCGTTCTCCAATCTCCTTTTCCCAATCTATCTCTTTGCCTTTCTTTCTCTTCTCACGCTTCGCTTTCTTGATGGTTTACCGTGAAAAAGACCTTATGGCCGAGACGAGAACCCTAATCCCTTTTATTAACCAACGTCCATCGAGTTGGTTACTTTCGATTAATATTTTATTTTATCTTTATTTTATTCCGACTTCACATAATAACCAATAGGTCCTTATAATTATTAAATCACATTTGGGCCCATTATTTTATTTCACATGAGTCACATAATGGAATGAATTAATTAAATTAATTCTAACATTCTCCCACTTGACTCATGTGATATCACAAAATTCTGTGATTTAATACTTAAGTCATAATGCGCATTAAATGATCTTACATAAATTGGTTCTATCCTTATTCATAATTAAAGATACAGGCTATAACAAGAGTCATGACGGTTACATGTCATTCAATCGACAGGCTCCCTTCCATGTACCACTATATTATCTCTTTCTCCTTAATATGACTTTATAATGAGAAGTCCATAATGGGTTCAAACATAATATCATTTTAAAATAATAACATAATTTGTTTTCTTCATCATAATTTGCATGCATATAAATAAAGAAGAAAACACAAATTTCAGAAACTTATACGTTAAAGATCTCGGAGTGTCACATAACATTAATAATAACATTAACATTCAACTTTCACTACTAGTAAACATAATGCCCATATTTACTATATGGCCAGCAAACAACTTGGGCGAGTAATCCCTTTGTTAAAGGATCAGCAATCATAAGATCAGTGCTAATATGTTCTATTGACACTCTTTGTTTCGAACTTCTTCTTTAACGTCAAAGTATTTCAATTCCATATGCTTAACACCTTTGGAATACTTGTCGTTCTTAGAAAAGAAGACTAGCTGCGGAATTGTCACAATAAATTTTCAGCGGCTTGGCAATGCTTGTCGACTACTCCAAGTCCTGAAATAAAATTCCGCAACCAATTAGCTTGAACTGTGGCCTCAAAGCATGCCACAAATTCAGCTTCCATGGTGGATGCGACAATGATAGATCGCTTCGCACTTTTCCATAAAATCGCTCCTCCGGCTAAAAGATACACATAACCAAATGTAGACTTTCGTGTATCCATACAACCAGACAAAATCGAATCTATATATCCAATCACCTCAAGGTGATCAACTTTCCTATAAGTAAGCATGTGATTCTTTGTTCCTTGTAAGTATCTTAAAACTTTCTTTGCAGCCTTCCAATGATCCAGTCCAGGATTACTCCGGTATCTACCAAGCATACCAAGCTGCAAAGCTAATATCCGGCCTCGTACATGTTTGAGCATACATCAAACTCCCAACAACGAGATGCATAAGGGATATTTTCCATCTGTTTCCGTTCCAAGTCATTCTTTGGACATTGCATAAGACTAAATCTGTCTCCTTTACGTATTGGAACGGGAGATGCTTGAACACTTCTCCATTCGAATCTCTCTAAAACTTTATTAATATATGCTTTTTGAGACAAACCTAACGAGTCCTTGTGATCTATCACGGAATATTTCTATTCCTATCACATAGTATGTCTCACCCATATCTTTCATTTCAAAGTTGTTAGAGAGAAACTTCTTAGTCTCACTTAATAGACCAAGATCATTAGTCGCAAGCAAGATATCATCAACATACAGAATCGAAATATAATCTTACTCCCACTTGACCTTCGAGATATATACACCGATCAACGAGTGTTTTCCTTAAATCCAAAGGACAAAATAGTATCATTGAACTTAAGATACCATTGTCGAGAAGCTTGTTTAAGTCCATATATTGATTTCTTAAGTTTACACACCATATGTTCCTTTCCTTCTTCAATAAACCCCATTTGGTTGATTCATATAAACATCCTCCTCTAAATCTCCATTCGAAAAGCAGTTTTAACATCCATTTGATGCAACTCAAGATCATAATGAGCTACTTAATGCCATGATAATTCTAAAGGAATCTTTCTTAGAAACAGGTGAAAATGTTTCCTTATAATCAATGCCATCTTTCGAGTAAAACCTTTGGCAACAAGTCGGGCCTTGTAACGTTCGATATTGCCATGAGAGTCACGCTTAGTCTTAAAGACCCATTTACACCCAACACTCTTACATCCTTCCGGCAATTCCACAAGATCCCATACACCATTCTGTGTCATTGATTTAAGCTCATCTTTCATAGCATCTAACCATTTATCAGAATTATCACCATTAATGACATCTGAAAATGAAACTGGGTCATTGTCAATACTTAGGTCATTTTCTGACTCTTGTAGATAAACCACGTAATCATTCGAAATAGCAGACTTTCTTTCTCTGTGAGATCTTCTTAATACTATTTCCTGTGGTTGTTCTATTACCGGATCATTGTTTATCTCAGGATCATTAATTTGTTGTTCTTCTTGATTGTCGTGTGATTCTTCAACATTTGGAACAACAACTCTTGAAGATGTACTAGTTATTGGAACTTGTACTCTAACTTCCTTAATCTCCACATTTCGTGAAGCTTCACTCCCACTTGGTTTCACCATTTTCAATGAGCCAGAGCATTTCCAGTTTCAACAATTCTTGTACTATGAGTAGGACGAGTAAAACATATACCCCTTTGATTTTTCTGGATAACCAATGAAATATCCACCGATTGTTCTTGCATCCAGTTTCTTTTCTTGCGGATTATAAATTCTTACTTACGCCGACAACCCCAAACATGTAGGTGTTTTAAAGCTGGGTTTCCTACTTGTCCATAACTCAAAAGGAGTCTTTTGAACCGCTTTACTAGGAACCACTGTTCAACAAATACATGGCGGTCTTCAAAGCATACATCCACAACGATACGGGTAAACATGAATTACTCAACATACTCCTAACCATATCCATTAAGGTTCGATTACACCTTTCGGACACACCATTTTGTTGCGGTGTACCTGGCATTGTGTATTGAGCACAAATACCACGCTTCTCGAGGAACTTAGCAAACGGACCAGGGTGTTGTCCACTTTCATCATATCTTCCATAATACTCACCACCTCTATCCGACTCGATAATTTTCACCTTTACGTCTAATTGCCTCTCCACTTCGTTTATATAACTTTCTAAGGCATTTCTTGCTTGAGATTTCTCATATAGTAAATAGACATATCCATAACGCGAGAAATCGTCAATGAAAGTGATGAAATACTTCTCTTTATTAAAAGAATTTACGTCAAATGGACCACATATATCGGTGTGTATGATTTCAAGAAGTTGAGTGCTTCTTGTGGCTCCTTTCTTTGTGTGTTTTGTTTGTTTACCTTTAATACAATCCACAAATACATTCGGATCGAGTAAAATCTAAATCCGGAAGGATTTCATTCTTTACTAATCTTTGCATTCTTTCTTTGAAAATATGTCCCAAACGCTTATGCCACAAATAAGCGAGATCTTTCATCCACCAAACTACGTTTAGTGCCAACATTATGATGTAAGGTCATGAGAGTTTCGACATATAAATTATCCAAATTCAATTTATATAAACCATCATAAAGTGTACCAGTTCCAATCATACATGTACGCTTAAATAAGCTGAAACAACTATTCCCAAACTTAAAAGAGTATCCAGCAACATCAAGCTTAGACAAAGAAACTAAATTTCTAGTGATACTAGGTACATAAAAAGTATCCATAAGGTCTAAGTGATATCCAGTGTCAAGGATTAAGCGATAAGTCCCGACGACTTCCACTTGGAACCTTGACTTTATTCCCCATAAAGATGAACTTCTCATTTGGGTTTATGGTTCGGGTTGAAAGGAATCCACTGCATCACATTAGAAACATGAGTTGTACATCCAGAATCAATCCACCAAGTATTATGGGGAACTTCGAGTTAAATTTGATTCAAAACATACGTAAGCACTATGCTCACCTTTCTTTTCGAACCAAGCTTTACGCTTTAAGCGAGTGCTTCGAAAATGTCCGAGACTTCCCGCGAAATGACATTTGTCATTTTTCTTCGAATGTTAGTAGAGGACTCGTTAATCTTTAATGGTCCTTTACCACTTTCCATGTTTCTTAACAACTTTCTTTTTAGTTCCTTGATTTTTCACGTAATGAATAGAGTGACTTCCTAGGTTCTTGAGTCCGGTCTCCTCCTGAACTAACATACTTGTGCAATTCATGCACATTCCATTTGTCTTTCATGGTGTTATAATTCATCCGAAACGGACCATACTCGAGCGGTAACGAGTTCAAAATGAATTGCACAAGAAAATTTTCTTCCACTTGCCATTCCAAGAGACTTGAGTCTTGTCTGCGATATTTGTCATTTCGATTACGTGTTCATGCATACTACGAGAACCATCAAACTTCATGGTGGTCAACGTAATCATCAATGTCCTAGCGAGGATTTGTCGGCGGTTTGAGAACGCTCTTTCACAAATTTCATAAATATTTTCACGTCCTTAGTTTTGGAAAAAGCATACTTAATATTGCTTGCAATACTCATTCGCATAAACATAAGACTAAGTCTATTTGAACTTTTCCAAACTCTATAATGAGTTTTCTCTTTGTTGCTACTAGCATTAGTGATAGCAACCGGTTTTTCAACTTAGAAAGCCAAATCAAAATCCAACTCACCTAAGTGAAATTGGACTTTCTTACTCCAGATCGGGGAATTTAATTTATTAAAGATCTGGAACAGAGCGAAGTAAGCGAATGTAGAAATACATAAACAAATACTTCAATTAACACATGCCTAACATTAACGCTTTGAGTCATAAAAACTAAACATAAATACTGATTCAAACATAAATAACCATTCTATGCATACTAATGTTCTCCTTTGGGAGATCCACTAATACACAAACATAATTACGCTAATATTTTTATAACATTAATGATAATTAAAATATGCATCAACTAGAATCACCTAACACCTTTGGGTATATAAATAAAACTAGTGGCGCTACACAAAATTATCTACTTTCATGTTCATTAATTATAATAACAACTAATCAACCTTTGGGTGATCCTGAAATGCCTTATAATAAAGAACTTCAATTAACCCATAAATCATTATTCATAATTTTAGCATTCATACTATGGGTAATTGAAATAAAATCACTAATAATTTGAAATCAAAATAACCTTAAAATTTTGGCCACTTTGGTGACTAACAAAATTTATCATGCTTAATTTCAAATAAATAACATCTTTAATTGCTATTAACCATTCATAGCATTTTTTTTATTAATTTTAATAAATATGTACATTATTCACATAATAAAATATTATGTGCCATAAATAAAATTGAAACTCATAATTTCAATTTTCATCCTAAGATTGATTTTCAATCCAAGAACTTTATTTGCATTTCACGTAAAAGTGAAATTGTCATTCATTCAAAACTTTTATGAGTAATTTAAACACAGTGAAACAATATAATTCAGGTTTGCAAAACAAAATTCATTCATTTATCAATGTTTACATTATAGGTACATTAACAAAGTTTTACAGAACATTAACAAAGTACCTTTAACAAAAAAGTACCCTTAACAAAGTACACTTGACAAAGCTTTACATTACCCTTAACAAAGCTTTAAGGTACCCTTAACAAAACTTTAAGGTACCCTTAACAAAACTTTAAGGTACCCTTAACAAAACTTTACGAGTACTCTTAACAAAGCTTTACATTACTCTTAACAAAGCTTTACATTACTTTACGATACTCTTAACAAAGCTTTACATTACTCCTAACAAAGTTTTACATTACTTTACAGGTATATCATTCTTCCATCATAATTATAACATCCCATCATAACATCTCATCATAATTATAACATCTCATCATAATTATAACATACAATATACAATGAAACTAATTTCATACATGATTCATCCTAACCCTATCACGTCATTTGTCTTTTCAATTAAAATCAATTATGGGTTCATTCACGCATAGGGGCTATAAAATTGGTTTCAATTTGAACTTGAAAACATAATTAGGGTTTATTCCTTTATTTAATTTTGAGAAAAATAAAATTGGGAATAAATTAGGGTTCATACTAATCTGATAGAGAAATCCCTAAATTCATAATTAGGGTTAATCCCTAAATTCATAATTAGGGTTAATCTTAATTTGAGAAAAAACATAATTTGGGAAAAATTATCATAAGAGGAAAATCATAAATCTAAGAAACTAGCTACGATACCACATGTAAGACATTATGTAATTTTCCTACGTTATTAATTCATTATAGAAAACTACTCTACAGGATCTTTAAATTATTGATTTTCACATTTGCATACATCAATACATGAATCTAGTAAGAGAACTAACCTTGATCCATGAGAATCCTTTCTTGATCTTTTCGTTCTCCAATCTCCTTTTCTCAATCTATCTCTTTGCCTTTCTTTCTCTTCTCACGCTTCGCTTTCTTGATGGTTTACCGTGAAAAAGACCTTATGGCCAGAGACAGAACCCTAATCCCTTTTATTAACCAACGTCCATCGAGTTGGTTACTTTCAGTTAATATTTTATTTTATCTTTATTTTATTCTGACTTCACATAATAACCAATAGGTCCTTATAATTATTAAATCACATTTGGGCCCATTATTTTATTTCACATGAGTCACATAATGGAATGAATTAATTAAATTAATTCTAACAGTATTATCAGGATACGAGTGCAGCAACACTGGCAAGTTCCCTTTGCTTATTCCCTTCACCCCTACAACCCACTCATACACATTCACCCGTGTCCCAGTGCTTCCACAATCCACAACCACAGTGTAATACGGCGACGCATAGAGTTTGCCGGTATCTGCCTCAAGATAAAAACCCAGAAACAAAAGCAGCATCACCAAAATGACTAAACCGAATTTTATGAGCCATTTGTGTTTGGCAATCCGTTTGTATTTCGAAGGGGATTTGGGGACTTCCATTAGAAAAATGATGTAATAGTCACAGGAAAATCCCTTTTAATCGAATTCCAAAATCGGGTTGAGGAAAACGCGTATTTGGTTGAGATGAGATCTAGTTTACTAGTTGTAGTTACTACTAGAGTGCACAATAGAAGATGAATTTACCTTGGCTGAGGTTCTAAAGTTGTTGTAGTTTGATCCGTAATTATCTGATGGAATTTGGAAAACTCAAAAACGGCTACTGAAGCGGCTATGGAGTCTGTAGAACGTGCTGATCACGAGACTCCACATGTTCCAAATCTTTTTTTCATTGCAGATTGGTTAACTTTTTTAATCCTTGGGAAGGTATTGGTATTTTTTTTTTTAATAAATAAAAAGTAGCAATTCTTTGTTTACACACTATATTATGAGTTAGACTTTGCTTTTATTGGTGCTTTAAAATTTATAATGGCAGACAAAATTCATACACCGTACCAATAACAATAAATATATGAAAAACATGCAAGTACAAATAAAATGGATAACAAAAAAATCTTTTAAAGTTATTTAACAATAACCACATTTTAAGCCATAATCTATTTTAAACGAGGTTTCATGTCACCGAAAGCTGAATATTATAAATACATTTTGAATAAAACCAATACATTTTGAAACATAAAAAAAATTACTGTTTCATTATTAATAAATATAAAATTATGTATTTCTCGTGACAATTAAACTTTTAAAAATTAATTTTTATTATTATGTTCTTATGATGGACTTTTGTAATTATTTATTAATGACATAACATATACTTAGATTTATTATTTCAAAATATTTGTCAACATATAATAAATGATAATAAAAACAATGTAAAGTATACAAAACAACTGTTAAAATGACTGATAAGGTACATCAATACACTAAAGAAAAGAGGTGCATTGAAGTGTTCCCTATTAATGGTCATTGTATTCTAAATTGTTTTATTTTTCTTGAAGAAGTTACAACTTAATCATGCAAACACAAGCTAAGTCATTTATGTATCTTCGTGTTTATCTTTTCATTTTCATTTAATTCAACCTTCACCTTTTCTACTTCATATACATTTTTCATCTTTAGTCAACTATCAATATTATGCAATTTGAATATTTCTTCAGGTAATTAGTTTCTTTAAACAAATTCAGTTCGTAATTTATTTTCAAACTAGTTAGTAAGGGTTTGGTTTCACGTTTGGAAGTGAATCATAAAATTATGTTTGAGTTGATCATACATATATAGGAATCTGTAATTGAGAGAGACAGACACTTTCTTAGCTTATTAGTTGTGAATACGTTAAACTGTTCGGTCCATAGGGAAAAAGTTGGAAACAATTATATTCTAATTTGGACAATTGCTAAATGGTGAAAGCATTTATGCACTTGGTTTTGAAAGATGAAGGAAAGAAATAAAGAAAAGAATAAGGCATCCATGCACTCAGAATTTGGATTCTTATGCGTTTCCTGTGAACCCGAACAACTGTTAAAAATGGTTTTGAAATTATCATCCAAATGTAGTCCAGAAATTGTGTTGGAGGTGCACTCAAATCTCATTCAATTCAAGAGCTGAAGTGAAGTCCACATAATGATAACTTTTTTTTTGCTCTCATTTTGATTAATTCAAATTAAAATTTATGCTGGCAAATAGCACACATGTGCATCTTAGATGGGGTTATGTGGCTCTTGTTCCTAAAGGCTCCAGGAATACACTAGCTTTAGGATACAAGGCAGCCTCTTTGAGAGTCATTCCAATTTGGTCAACACCATAAGCTCTTCTTGGAAAGTTTGATATCAATCTGTATTTTCCGATTCCTGGCAAACCTAATGAATCAATGTATGAGAAAATGGATTGGATTTTGTCTGTGCAAAGGAAAGTATGCTCTCTTCTTTCCCCGTTCGGAAACCTTACGAGTATCTGCAACATAGAATTTTGAAACGCATAGTCAAGTTCAATAGATGTTAAACTTTGACATGCTTCTAACTTTGTTGTGAAGGACTCAACTCAAGTATATGTACCTGTGTGGGCTGAGACTCGCTTCCTTTACTTGCAACTCCCTTAGTGGACTCATTCACTCTATTGTTCTGTTTGGTGAACTTAATAGAATTGTTCACCAGTTTACCATAATTTTTGGTATTGTGAGCTTCCACTTGCTTCTGAACTCCCTCTCCTGAAGGTAAATTATTGAGTTTGTCTTTTTCCTATATTTAGCAAAGAGTGATCGTTAATCATTGATTTTAGGAAAGAAATAACAGAAAAATAAAAGAGTATATTCAGATTAAGTTTAAATCAATAGTTAAAATGTGTAGAGTGAAGAGGTACACACCTTGTCAATTTGCAAAGCTGCAAGATATGCAGCATCTTGTTCTTCTCTAAGCCTACGATCTGCTTCAATCTTTTCTTCCTGCTTAGCTTTAGCACTTCCAAAAGCCATTCCTTGTTCTTCCAATGTTCTTTGTAGAATCCCCACTAGTTCAGCAGGTGAAAGGGGTCCTTCTAGCTGAAACCAGAAGAAAAATGTGTATAGAATAGGCTATAATCAAATATTTTTGAGTTTCCAACAAATGATGTAATCCTGGAACAACATAATTTCATCACAAACAATACAACAACATAAAGTACACAAGTACTCGATCAAAGTAAGATAGAATCTCGTATTTGACAAGTTATAATTTGAATCTCCTGAGTCTCCTAGGTTGGGGTAAATTTAATTTCTCTCTAAATGATTCATAAGCTAGGAGGCATTCAACCTTGGGTTTGTACATAGGATACCACCTTCTCACCCTAAAAATTTTATTACCATAAAAGTAAATACAACATAAACAATGACTAATCACCCCATTTCCTTAAAACATCTTGCATATTTGAGGCATAAAGCATAATCCACAACAAAAGGCATAAATGTGTGTGTCAAAATTTAACCAACCTGTTGCAGAACTGCTATGCTCTCACCGGGAGCAGGGGCTATGACAGCACAACAGGGAAAGGTGTCAGGGCTAAGTGTTGCAACCATTTGCAAGCCCTCTCCTCTATATGTGAGTCCTCCCCAGCAAACAAAATTCACGTCAAGAAACTGAATCACTGGTTCCGAACACAGTGTTTCCTTGCAGAAAAAGTTTGCGAAAGGGTGGTCAGGTGAGTGGAGGTACATGAACAAGAACTTGTGATCTTGTTCTGCTAACTTCATTGCTTCCCCGAAACGGCAAGCATAAAAGAAAGGGTGTTTGGTGCCATATTGCTTCTCAAAACTCTCTAGAAAACTCCATTCCTCTCGAACCACGACTTGATCATGTGGTTGTGAAACGTGTTCTTGAGGCTGCGAAGGAATATTTGTATGTTGATGTCTTCTTCCTCTTCCTCTTCCTATAAAGCCTATACCATCCCCCATTGCCCTTGAAATACCCTCCATTATGCTTCGACGAAGGCTTGCCATGCTGCGAACAATCCTCTGATCCCTCCCTGTTGATGGCATTTCTTTCAGCTTCTACTTTCGACTTACCACTATGGTCCCTCCAAATTATTCATGCATCAAGTACAAGCTCGACTTTCAATCGGGTGCTCTAATGTAACACAATCATGCGGTGAATTTGTAGCGTCCAATAGAGATGTGTAATCATCGAAATACTACGGGGAATCAAGTTTACCATGCAATGCCTTTCCTTGATGTCCTGTTAGAGAAGACACGAGAGGATTGTGGAAGAATTTTTAGATGCCATCATGCCATGCTACATTTATTTTTCTTTTCGACAAAGTATAAAGAAGATTCTTTGCTTAAAGCCGAATCCGCCGTTCATTTTTGTAGTTCTACATCAAATTAGTGTAATATTTTTGGTATCAATTTAATTATATGTTACGTGAAAATTAGCTAAGATCACTATAATCCTGTATTATAGAGTATGACATCAAACTTATTCTTTTCCTACGTTCCCTTTTCATTATCCCAAGACCAAAGTAAAAGTAGTCAAATGGTAAGGGAACGTATTTATATATATGCCCAATGAAAACTGAACTTTATTCAGGTAGTGTTGGTGTTCAGCATCGATCACTTCCTATTGACAAACCCCAAACTCTGACTAGATTTGACACAAAATCTGTGGTTCTCGCATTTTGCATAACAGCTCGAAAGAAAGATAAAATGATAGTTTGCACATTCATTGCAAGAAATGTGCTACTTTTTTTTTTTTTTTTTGGCTCCTGTAAGTTTGAATGTTCAAGCAGTGCATGCACATCCTAACAGACATTGCAACAGATGATGGCCTGTTTTTTTGGGCCACACATCAAGACAATAATAACCCAGCCCAGCACAACCATGTGTACGTCTTAACAACAGAGCCTGTAAAAACAAGGCACAATTTACGAGCAAAGCAAACCAAATTTACGTGCTGATTCCACGTCTGGAACATAAAACTTAAGGATATATTTGAATAATTGTTTCCCTAAGTACATTTAAAAAAAATGATTTTTTATAAACTAAAATGAACTTAACTACCAGTTAATAAGATTTTTTTACAAATTAATTTATACATAGAAAAATTCACTTAGGAAGACGTTATTTCATTCTCTCTTTTTTATTGGAAATTTTTTTTTTTTCTGAACATGGCCTAAATTTGAAAGGCATGTTACACCTATAAATTGAAAGGTCAAATTTCGGACCAGATAGGCATGTGCTTCTTTTTCTTTTTCTTTTTCTTTTTCTTCTTCTTTTTTTCTTTCTGTTGTGTAGGATAGTCCGAAATGGGATATCTCTGGGTTTAAGTCATTCAAGAGACTTGTATTGTCTTCAATAATGTTTTATACTTTGGATTAATAATATAGAAACATTATTCGATATCAGACAATTCATTGATTAATTCGATAAAAAATTTCTAAGACTAATATATTTCCAAAATGTATTCTTCACATTTTATTCTATTATTTTAATTTTTTTTCAAATTTAATTATATATATATATATATAACTTCTCTAAATTCTCATTTTAACTTCTGCACAAGGTAAAAATTATTTTATTGTTTTTTGTAATGTTTATGAAACAACTTTTATAAAGAATGTTTTATTTTATTATATTTAGAAATTAAACAAAAAAACCTGAAGTATAAATCATAATAACATATAAATATACCCTTAAAAAAGTTGTTTATCTTCGTATATTATCTTTTATTTATATCACTAATAAGTAATCCGTACGTACGCATGGGATGTTGGGTTGATTCATTATTTTTCATAAAAAAAAAAACTAATTATAAAAGTAAAAATAATAATAACTTTAAAGCAAAACATTTTACATAATAAATATATGATAAGAATTCATTAGAATACTAGTACACACAAAAATGAAAAAAAAAAAACAATAAATGAAGATGATGAAAAGATAACGAAATACATAGTGTAACAAAAACACCCCTTATAACACCAAATCAAACCGTAAACTAAAAAAAATAGAATAAAGATGATGAAAGATATTTTAAACCCTCAAGCAAAAATAGAAAACGCGACACCAAATATACAGATAATGAGAAGTTTTACGTAGTGATCTAAAAACGGACATAGCAGACCTAAAAAAAATAAAAATCTAATGCCTAAAATATTTTAAAATAGGTTACAATTTTTTGCTTAATTTATTTTGTATTAGGCAAACGGGTTAATGAATATTTTTTATCTAATTAAAAATATTTTTATTTATATTTTTTTAATTTTATTTAAAAAATGATGTCATTCATTTGTTTATTTATTAACTCATCACCTATTTAGACAAAATAAAATAAAATATATAAAATCATAAAAATGAGTAATGTAGTATTTAGGAATTATAATTGTCTATATATAAAAAGTTATAAACTTTTGTAATTAAAGTATTTGATTTAAAATATCTTAGTATAAATATTAGATAATATATCTTTTACTTTTTTTTTTAAATACATGTTATAAATGTCTATAATCAAAGTATTTATATTTATAGTAATTAATTCAAAATTTTATTTACCTCTAAAACTTCTTCATACTTAACATAGCTAAAGTTAAATTGAAGATCATGCTTAATAATGCATCTAGCAAGTACATTTCTCTAAATTTTAGAGTCAAATTTTCATTACTTCAACAAACTAGTCTTATTATTTAACATAATTTTCACGTCATGATACTTTTAAAATACACTACATTTAAGAATCATTACAACAAAAATTAGATTTTTTGACTGGACAAAATCCGTCAAGTAAATATTATCTATAGATTTGAATAGTTCGTAAGTAAATTATTTATTTATTATATTTTATTTTTTTATTACATTTTGATTTATTATTTATTTAGAGGTTCCATTATTATCAAATTAAGAGAATTGTAGGATTCAAACCCAATACCTTAAAATTGGATGTTGATACTCCAACCACTAAACTACTACAATTTTCGGATAATAACTTATAAATAAATTATATTTATATATTTTAAATATTTAGTAACGGATATATTCAGTCGATAACTAATTATTAATAAATTTTTTCGGTAATCATTCGATAATTTTCGATCGGTAATTACTCATTTTCCGATGACTACATATCTATCGATAATTATTCATCGGTAATTAATTATTTTCTTGTAGTGAATATGTCATCTTGAATGATTGATTTTTAAAAATAAATGTGATATAAGCAATAGAGGAAGAAGGTAACCAAAGCAGATGAAGATTATGTTTAGAGTTTATAATTCTTTCAAATTTATATATATATATATATATATATATATATATATATATATATATATATATATAACAACATATATTATACATATATTTTATAATAAAATAATATTATTTTATTTTATAAAGGGATCCGCCCATAAATTTATTAGCTAACTTGACTTAATTCTATTTAGACTTAACCTAGATAGATTAGGCTAAAATTTGTTTGATTCATAAAAATTTTAACCTAATCTAATATATTTTTCAGATGTTTTGTGTTGACCCTTAACTAATCTTATTTTGACATCGTTAATTCTATACACAAACGAAATACAGTTTTTCTCGTAACTCAAGTAAATATAAAAGTCTAAAATAAACTTACTTTTAACAAGGTGTTAAAAAAAAAGGCACTGTTATTTTTAAAATTTACGATAATAAAAGTGTAAAACAATCTTAGTTTGCCCATGCGTTCTCCGTACTCGTTTGTTATATATATATATATATATATATATATATATATATATATATATATATATATATATATATATATATATATATATATATATATATATATATATATTTCTGTTTATTATATGCTACTTTATTTTTTTTTTCACCTAAATTTAACGTTATTTTTTTAACTTATAATAAAGCATAATAATGATATTTTAAGAATGAAAACAAATATATCTTTCCCCATAGGCTGAAAAATATAAAATCATTTTACGCAAATCGAAATACTAGTGGCATTAGTTGCGCCTTCAATATATTCCATATTTAATTAACCTATTATTTTATATTTCAATAAAATATTAGTAAATACTTCATAACAAAAAACTTATCACTTAAACAATTTTATGACACATGCAACGTAGGCCCTACATGTAGTTATCCATATAATTAGTGTCATGAATTTCATAATAAGTGGATTAATATGAAAGTGATTGAAACTACATTCTTGTTTTCATATAATCAATACGAAACCTATAATTTATTAGACTTAATTATTGTTTGCATTTTCCTACAAGGAATCATTACTTGTGGCTCTATAATATCTAATTTGTCAAATGTGTGGACAAAAGGTCTCTTTAGTGCTATTAACACTTGAATAGTTTTGACTCCTTTGTGTGAACATTTACTAGTTGGGTCGGTGCGTTTCCCTCGTGTATTGCCTTTTGAAAAACTCTTTGGCATCCACAACGCGTTGCTCTAAAAAGAACCAATAAATAATCTAAAGGAAATATATGGTAGCTACTCTTTAAAAACACTTAACTTTGCATGTAGGAGATGAAAAAATATATATATACACGTTAAATTTTATTATAAATATTATAAACTGGTAATGTGAAACTATTTAATCATCTTTAAAAGTCCATATTTTCGGTGGGTTCAAGAAAAAGGTTCTGAAGACTTTTAATTTTGTCTTCACAACAGAAAGAGTAAAAGATTATATGCGAAGGAACAAACAACATCACATGGCTTCCACATTGAGAGCTATGGCAAAGAGGCATCATCATCTTGAACCCACTATGAGCTAGCTGAGTGGGTTATCTGTATATGGAGTATCTAATGCAAGCACACATGCTTTCAATAAGAGGCTATACTCATACCCTTCCTATAAATTGCCGCATGCTTTGAATATATTTTAGGTTCTCACGAAAAGGTTTATGTTCCTATGGCTGCCATGCACCTCCACTTTGCAATCAGGACAAAATTCAAGTGTTTTTCATGTGCTTATATGTAGGTGAATACAAGTAAATTACGTGGTTATTTGAATGCTTGAATATATATTCCTTTATGAAGGTGAATTTCAGTGTCACGAATATATACCAGCTCCTCTGATATCTGTAATAATATGTTTTTGGTTCCCTGATATTTTAAACTACCCATCAGAGATGCTGATTCTTTTTAAAAGCACGCTCAGCCGTGGCAGGCTTTAGCAAAATCCAGCGAATCAATTCTATATTAATGCTTATGCCATAAAATCACACTTTTATGATAACAACTAAGAATGAAGTTCATTCTAGGAATGCTGCAGCATGTTGAAATTTGTAAAGCTCTTGCGGGAATCTGTTTTCTGAGACTCACTTTTCGAAAGGCCATGACTCTAGAAAATATATTATATTAAATTAATCTCCTTCCATTGTAGGTTTTCTATCTATATCCGCGACTCACTGTGGACTAATATTCATGCTGACTGGTGCAGCGTTTCTCGAGTACTTATCTCCACAGGTTTGGTGAGAGAGTGAGTGGGGGTTTGTTAAAAGAAGAGAGGAAAATAAAGAATGGGAAGAAAAAGGAGAGGAAGTGTAAGTGGGAAGCATCACCGTTGCCCTGTCACAACCCTAAAAAGATTATTACCAGTGCATGCATGGGCCCATACTTTTGTGCTTCGTAACACCGCAAACAACACATAGTCACATACCATAGCTAGCTTATAGTGGCCGTAACTCAGAACCCAAGAGAATTTTACTAGGTAGGTTGGTTGCTATATCCTTGCTAGATCGGAATCTCTTTCTAATTATCCATTTGAATAATTAATCATATGCTACATACATAAATGGTAATTATTTATCTCATGGAAACTTTAACCTAGTAACATGCTTCCCTCTTAGCCATGTCACGTAAACCATTATTGTCTTAATTTGAACACTTTTGATGGCCATTGTTTTTTTGTTATTATAAAAGTGGGAAAAGTATGGAGGTTTAAGTTTAAGCTAAGTTTAATTTTAACATTGTCATTCGGTAAATTAGGGATTAATAGATATAGATTTTAAAAATAGTTAAGAGAAGCATTATTTTACTATAATAACAAACAAATATCTAATCATGGATCTAACTTCTTTAAAGTAAAGTTTATTTAAAAAATAGAATGTAGTTACAATTTTAAAAAATTAATGATTGAGAATTGTTATTCAATCAAATAAGTAATTTAAAATTAATTATGATTATGATTTTCTAGTTGATCGTATTTTGTCTTTTAAAGTTTACTCTTCATTTTAAAGAGCAAATCTTAAATTAAAATATAAAATAAACATTTTTTAAACTTTTAAATTTTAAAAAATTAATAATTAAATAATTATATTTCTAAACGTTCTATTGTAAATAACTAATTAAAAAAATATAAGTGATTAAAATAATTACAAAAGTTAAAACTCTTTCTTTATATAATTAATTACAATGAATTTGTTTGATTTGTTTGTATTATATATAGATAACTAATTAAAAACTATAAGTGATTAAAATAATTACAAAAATTAAAACTCTTTCTATTATATAATTAATAATAATGAATTTGTTTGATTTGGTTTGGTTTACATTTGGTAAGTTATTTTAGTTTGTTTTTATGAACTTGTTTGAAAAACAACATATATCACACTACCACATGGCTATACATTGGTAAACATAATTTTTAGTAGAAAAGTTTACAGGAAATATATATTTGATAAAATTAATTGTTCAATTAGCTGAGAGATATAGATTAAATAATGTACAAGGACTTGAGCATGATAATTTTTCATAAATGTTTTATTTTATAGACAAAAACTTATGACTAGATAAATTTTAGGTCTTTAAGTTCATTTGAGCTCATCTCATTTTTCTTACAATGTGATTTGTATAGATAAAATGTTTTATTAAAAATTAAAATAAATAATATAAGCAGTTCTATTGAAATATTTTTTATTAAAACAATAATGTGATATTAAATGGGACAATAAACACTAATTTTTATTTAAATATAAAATTAAAATTGTCAAAAAATAGTAAACTACAGTGTGTTTTTTAGAAAAGATAGTTAATGAATAACTTATCAATTAAAAATTGATTTTAATTAAAGCATATTTAATTAAAATTATTTTTTAAATGATTAAATAATTATATATTATTTAAAATAATTTTTATTTGATGAATTCTAGATGAGTTAAAATTTTTATCATCATTTTATTAAGAAACTTACAAAATTAATACAAATGAATAAATAAGAAGAAAAAATAAATTCTTTAAAAATTTAAAAAATTATTGAAATAAAATTAATTACAAACTGTTTAAATCTGATTTAACATAATACATTCATATTTTATATTTTTAAAAAACTCACCTGAATTATTTTTATTATGTCCTTTAGTTGAAACTTGAAAATAATAATGAATTTAAGTGATTATATTGAAAACTTATTTTGATATTTATTTTTAAAATAAGAAATTTCTTTATTAAAATATTTTATAATATATACATTTAATAAATTAATATAATTTTTATTATTATTTAAAAAATAATTATTATTGTATAAAATAAATCAATTCATAAATCTATAATAAAACCAAATAAATCATAAACGGATAAAGTCAAATTTAATTTCGAATTAATTTATTAATTAAGCCTATTTTAATATCCTACTTTTTATATAATATTTACTATGATATAATATATGCTATGACAGTTTTAAGTTTTTAAATAACTTAATCATTATATATATTTTTGTCACAAAACCTCGTGTACTAATTAAATAAATAGTAATATGAAAAGAGATATTTGATTAAAAGTGTAACATTAAACGAGGTAATAAATTAATATTTTGAAAAGAGTGAAAATATAGAATAATATAATAATAAGTTACAAGTTTATACTTTGAACTTTTAATAAATTTTGGTTATTTAATTTTTTTAAAATTACAAAATAAAAATGATTTCAAAAAATAATTTTAGCTAAATACATATCAAACACATTTCTAATTACTAAAAAATATTTTTAAAAATAATAAAAATAATAAGTCTTAATTCTTTCTACTCGAGGAATGAAGTATTTCTCTTTTTATCAAGTTTATGACTATTTACTTCTTTTGCTCCTAACATTTTACAGAAGTTAGTACAGGAGTTTGGTACACAAAGTTTAAATTTTTAGGGACAGCCAAACAACACAACAGATACTCTCCAATCACTCCCATGAATTGTCATTTGTCGGCACACACTCACATTATTGACTCCTTTGACCATCAATTGACATCAGTTAACAATGTTTCCTTACGTCAAAAAATTCCTCAATGTAATTTCACCCTATTTATTTCATTTATATCTTTCTCTCCCCTCATTGTGTAAAACAACAATAAGCTGAGTTTGAAACTCAAATTCGTGTTGTTCTTAGTTTTTAATGTGCTGTGATAATGTTTAAGGTTTCATAATTTATTAGCTCATTCATCTTACTCTAAGCACACAAAACACCCATGCATATTTTAAAAAGAAGTGAATAACTTTTTAACTATAGCCTAAATATTTAGTATTATTAATCATTATAATTAAAAAAAATGAGAAAATACCATGTAGAGTATTTTATAGAAGCTGCCTGTTCTATAATATCCGGTGTCTATTTAAACTAAAACAATTAATTCAAATGTTTTTTAGCAGTGAAATTTGGCATCAAGATGTTCAAATATGAGATTGTTTAATTATTGGTTAAATATTGTGAATTGATAAGTGTATTTTTATATGTGATGTCCACGCTAAGCTTGTAACATGAATCTGAAAGAATGCTTTTTAAAAGTTTGAAAGAGAATTTGAGTGAGATATTATCTTATTACTGAGTTGACTATGTTGTTCTTATTGTTTTTGGTAATTATCACTTATATGGCAAAAGATTTATACCAAAATATGTTACTGTTGTTATTATTGCTAAAAATAAAAAATGGATGAGTATGATTTTGATAATGGAATGGAGTGAGAAAGGAGTTAAGACTAATGGTTATTGATGATGGGATGATGGCAATGAATATAAATATAATGTAATAATTAGGTATGGCCCATTAAAGTTGCTTTGGTGTGTGGAGGTAGCTCCATAATCTTAAAGTCAATTTCTCTTGGGCCGTATGAATTGCAATTAATAATATGAGCAGAGGAAAGTAAAAGCAGATAGATATCCCCAGGCAAGAAACTGATAATAATATATGCCTGCCCTCGGGTTTCAACACAAATAGGAGGGCACCACAAAAATGAAACAATTTACTTCTTCTATTGGTACAACCATCACCACCATGCTTTCACAAACCAATTCAGCTTTAATTGGAAGCTTGACTGGTTTAAAGATTCTTCTTCGAGTTTCCAACAATAAAAAGAAAATCTTAATTACAGTGATTACTTCAAAAAGTTAAGGGCAAGAATTTTCGGTTCAATTCAATGACAAAAAAGATGCTAAACGACAACTTCAATTTCGATTACATAGCTTCAAACGAAAGATATCGTAGTTTGTAGTAGAAATTCCGATGTAAATGTTCGGTTTATATTCTTATTCTGGTTAATTGCGTGCCTAAAGTGCTATATTATTTAGTACAAAACCTTTGATTACCGTGGAATGAAAGAAGAAGAATCCATGATGCAGCGTTACATTGAGTCTTGGGTAATTATTTTTTCTCTGTTTAGTTGTTCCACTGTCTGTGTACAGTCATTGTGAGGTAAAAGTAAACATGGAAAATGCAACCCCACCTATCCCGGGTCTGGGTCTATTTTGTGTGCTGGTGCTAGTTTTGATGGTGTGGTGAGGGAGCATAAAATTAAAATCTTTTCTCTCTCTCTCTCTCACACACACACACTCTCTCTCACTGTGGTTAGGACCAGTAGGAGTTGTTTATAATTTGAAAACTGAAGGCAGCCAACCAACTAGGGGTTCCTCTTGTTAGTTCTTCTGTTTTGTATGGACATGAAGGGATATTCAGTTTCCTGGACAAAACATAAGAAAGAGCCATATTTTGCAGCTCATCACACAAGAAGACAACAACAATGCATACAAGCAAATCATGATGCCCCAGAAGAAACAAGTTCACTAAATCATTCCCTGAAATTGGCTGTTTCCACTACCCAAAATACTCTACTGCCTATGCTACCTGCCTTTGTTGTTTTGCTCCTACTTGTTACTTCAATTAGCACAGCATTCTCTCACCCCATTGCCTCCAATTTAACTTCGCCAGCACACTCTCACCTCAATGCTAACAACACTTTGAGGCCAGCTGCAGTGTTGCAAAAGTTGAGGAGAATCAGAGCTCACCTCAACAAGATTAACAAGTCTCCTGTTAAAACAATTAAGGCATTTTTCCTTTGCCTGTACAATCTGTGACAGTGACACTACTGCATTTCCCTTCTCCTGATTCAATGATCTATGTTTCTGTTCCTTTTGTTGCAGAGTCCAGATGGGGATTTGATAGATTGTGTTTTCTCTCATCAGCAACCTGCTTTTGACCATCCTCTGCTCAAAGGGCAAAGACCATTGGTAATTTCATCCAACTCTGGGGACGCTGGAATTCCAATGAAGCCAGTACTCATCTTTTAGTCTAAAGGTTTTATTTTTGGGGATTGAATTTTATTTGAGACTGAGAAAGTAAGAGGCTTAAGGTTTACAGGATCCACCGGAGAGGCCAAAGGGCCAACCCAATGGAGAAACAGCCATAGAGAGCTTTCAGCTTTGGTCTGATTCTGGTGAAGTATGTCCTGAAGGAACTGTTCCAATCAGAAGAACAACTGAACAAGATTTTTTACGAGCGAGCTCTATCAGAAGATTTGGAAGAAAAGTACGGAGGGACTCAACTGGCAATGGTCATGAGGTTAGTTAGTACTTACAAATAATGTAATTTGCTTATTGAACTTCCATTGCCAATTCAATCCTTTTCCCGCTACTGTTTATGTTTCTCACAATGTATTCATTTGAAAGGAAAATCTATGCTCTAATTTTTTCTTCATCGTGTTCATTTCCACCCTTTTTCTTTGTCAGAAAGAAAAGAACAACCCTGCTTTTCCTTATCCATCAAAATTCAACTCGTATTGCAAAAACTAAGACATTGAAGGGACACCACTTTCAAAAGTTTGCCTCCTAGGTGCACCAAAAAGTAACGTGGAAATCATTATTCCCATGAGGAAGTTCTTCTTGTATCCCTGTTGGATACAACATGCAAATTTTTTCCCCAGAAGGAGATAAAAATTGAAATAAATATTTAAATAAATAAAAGGGCCAAGCACGCCATAGGAAAAATCATTCATATTCTTGTGCATGCATGTGTGCGTGTAACTTTTACTGATAATTTTGATTTTTGACACACATCTTGTTGCAGCACGCAGTTGTTTTTGTAAACGGAGATCAATACTATGGAGCAAAGGCAAGCATAAACGTGTGGACACCCAGCGTAACCGATCCATACGAATTCAGTTTGTCACAGATATGGGTTATTGCTGGATCTTTTGGCAATGATCTGAATACTATAGAAGCTGGATGGCAGGCATGTCCATATATACTTGTCCAAAAATTCACATTCATCCATTTTTTTAGAAAATATTGGGAAGGTGTTGAAGAATGTACTAGGATTACATTTGTCTTTATCATTTGCTTTAGTTTTCGATCCATCGATTTCTAGCTAAATAACAAGCATCTTTTCCTTCAGGTAAGTCCCGAGCTATATGGAGACAACTATCCTAGGTTCTTCACTTATTGGACAGTAAGTAATGCATGTTTCTTTTTTCATATTTTGTTTCTTTTAACCCTCATTTCTTTCACATCTTAAAAATTAATGTGCTATTTGATAGACGGATGCATATCAAGCAACTGGATGCTACAATTTACTATGTTCAGGATTTGTCCAAACTAACAACAGGATAGCAATAGGGGCTGCAATCTCCCCAAGATCCATCTATGATGCCAGACAATTTGATATTGGCTTAATGGTTTGGAAGGTGAGTCTTTTTCTTTTTCTCTTTTCGCACAAAGTAATTCATCACCTAAAAGTCAATCAAAAAGGAAACACCAATTGAGGAGAAAATAGGGTCCTTCAACACAAAAGGCTCAATGGTTTGTTGTTGTTAATTTGAGCTTTTATGCTTTTGAAACCGTTATTTGTTACATTTCACAACTTGTTTACTTCGACAAAAGAAAGGTTAAACATGCGTAATCAAATTAGGAATAAAGAAAATCATATCTAAGCGAAGCAATAATTCGTTTACTTCTTTTTTGCCCCTTTTCTTTTGAATTTTTCTGCATGTTAGCGTTATTCAAATGGAAGATTCCCTTGCTTTCCTTGTACGAGTGTCCTTCATGGGGTCGACTCTAGCTGAGCCTTTTCCTTTCCTTCCTTTATTAAAGCAATATTTCGCGGCTCGCGCTTTTCTTTTTTATTTTGGTTTTGCTCTAACTGGCATCTGATTTGTCTTACCACTTCTCTTTTCTCAGTTTTACTATCCTCCAACAATATCATTAATAATAGTAATCAACCACTTTATAACACTGAGACACGCATTAATTAATTAACCCATAAGGGAAAAAATTTCGTGTTTGCATTTATGCCAACACATTAATGTAGGTTCGACAGTTGGAGTCAAGCTGTAACATACTAACATGCATTTCCTTTTGCTTTAATAATTCTAAGATACCATAATGAAATTCTGTGTGTATAGGACCCAAAGCATGGACATTGGTGGCTGGAATTTGGGCCGGGACTACTTGTTGGGTACTGGCCAGCATACTTGTTTAGTCACTTGAGAAACCATGCTAGCATGGTACAATTTGGAGGGGAAATAGTGAATTCTGGTTCAAGGGGCTACCACACTGGCACTCAAATGGGTAGTGGCCATTTTGCAGAAGAAGGGTTTAGAAAAGCAGCCTACTTTAGAAACTTGCAAGTTGTTGATTGGGACAATAACTTGCTTCCTCTATCAAATATTCACCAATTGGCTGACCATTCCAATTGCTATGACATAAGGGTGGGATCAAACAATGTTTGGGGAACTTACTTTTATTATGGAGGTCCTGGAAGGAACGTGAGATGTCCATGAAGATATATATATATATACAGGCTTCTCTGTTATAAATATATATATATTCTTTCTTTTATCCCACTTTTTTTTTCTTATGGGGGTTTTGGTTTCATTATAAGCTTCACATGATTTGGCTATTTTTGTTAATTTTGGTTTTGGCTAACAGGTTAGAGACAGTTTGTTCTGTTGTTAGATATTATGTAAATCCATGAAAAATATGTTGTGAATTTATAACATTAAATCTTGGGGTTCTGTGTTTCTTCAATTCCTGTTTCTTTCCCTGTTGCAGTTCAAATAAACTTGAACCTTGCGGACGTAGTAGTTGACTTTAATTGGTCAAAAAACCTTTGATGCAACTTGTCTTGCCAAGATTGAACAATAATTTTCCATGCTTATTAAACTATATCTTACTGCTAATGAATCCGCCATATGTGGCTTTGCATGTGCGGGGAGCTACAAAGAGGCAAATGACAAACAAATCTCGAGGACTACTCTTCTATATCAATGGATCTTCTTTATCTTCTTGGTAAATAAAAAAAGAATATTTTAATGTGTAGGCAGTGCCCGCATTTAATTTTGCACCGTAAATAGAAAAAGATGATTTGAATACTATAATACAGTGACACCAAGACCAATTAACAGTGAACAATCGTTTTGCCCATGAGAAAACTTGAAGAAAAGATACTGCATATTGGGAAATACGATGTACAACAAACATTATTTCTTGTTTGAATTCTGAGTGGGAGATGAGAATAAATAAATAAAAGGAGGTTTTTGAAGGGAAAAATGCTTGAAAGCCAACGGTCAATGTCATGATTTTATTAAATCTTAGACCATCCGAAACTAGACAAAGAAGAGAAAAGAAGGGAGCACATGGGTCTGGAGAAAAGAAGTTGGTGGTGTTAGTAGGCTAGCATTAGGTATTAGCATCCTAGTGTCGAAATGGATGTTGGTGGAGCTGTGAAGTGACACAAGATATGGATCTTTTGTTTTCAAAAGAATAATAATATTTAGAAGAAGGTTAGAATTTTAAGGCAATAATAGTAACTGACGCCTCCTTGCGTGACAACAAAGCAATCCCCACCACATTCGATTAAAGAATAAAGGACAGTGATGGTCTACACTGGAGTCCAGAAGCGTATAATGGAAGAGTGAGCAAAGAAATGGAACATACAATTCTTTTTACTACCCGCTACGGCTTCTGCTGCCTCAATCTGGAAAGCCTCAGGAAGAGATGATTCTCATATGAAGCAAAAGAAGGGCACTTTCTCGTAGCTTGCAACGTGAACAGAGCCAACAACAGTAGCAGCAACCAAGACCTACTTTCTTTATTTCTTTGAGGAAAACTATGTGTGTTACAACACAAAACCAAGTTGCAGAACTACATATTATAATTCAAAATTGAGGGTGGCACTGACACTCCCCCTTTCCGTACATTTATGTTTCTGGATTATAAAGTTACACTCAACATGCTTATACACTGTGGTCACAAATTCCATTCTGTGTTTGTTTCCCATTGACATTTATGCAGAGAAAGAGAGTGGATGGTTGATAAGATAACAAAACAATTCAAATCAAACAAAACACACAAGGTGGGTGCACCATCAACAATCATAGTTTGTAGCCGAAAGTAAACGTCAAAGAGGCTCCATATGGTGGGGAGACCTGCTGCAAAAACATGTCTGTAAGAAGGGTAACTAAGGCACTTAGCCACTGCATTACATATTCTACAAAATCTAAAATTGCTAACATAAAGCCAAAGTAATTAAATAAAAGAAACATTTATTCTATTCAGTTAGTTTAGTATTTTATCTATACCTGTATAAATTTAAAGAAGAAATAAAAAGATCAAAAATAGTATGTGAAGTGACATGAAAATGCCTTTCTGAGCCAGGTGCATCATGCATATGTTTGACATGGATATGGCGCCATTGTTTTTGAAGTGGTCCATATTAACTTTGGACCCTTGTTAAGTGCCATATAACAACGAAGGAAATGTCAACTTTTGACCCAAGTTAATATTTTTCTCGGTTATGCATGACAATGAAGGAAATGTTTGAGATATAGTATAAAATTGAAAGCTTGTTACCATCGAGGGTATAAATTTCTAAAGAACTCTATGGGTAAGGAAAAGAAACAAACTTCAAGAATCATTTAATATCGTTGAAGCTTAAATAAAAAAGTTATAAAAGCATATCGATAACAATGGTAACGGAAAAATTGGATGGTCAATTTTTTAAAATTATAAAACAAACGGAAAACGAGGATAAGAGACAATCAAAAGTGTCAAATATAATTAAGTGTGTCTTATCTATTTAGTGAGGTAAGGTCTATTATATAGTTTATTCAGATTTAATTTCTATAAGCTTGATATTTAAAAGCTTATGCACAACTTTAGTATACTATGAAAAAATTACTAATTTTAGAAAAGAAAATACACGTCTTTAATTACATTATTATCAACGAGTGATTTAGTATTGAGTTCATGAAGACCAAAGATAAATTATTTTTAACTTTTGATCGCTTCAACAGTTTATTTTATTTTATTCTCTAAATTAAATTATTAAATAAAAAAATAAAATAAAAAAGTACATTATATTAATTTTATTTTAGAGGCCTAATTGAATATGGACCTTTTTTTTACCTTTATTTTTTCATAACGTACTTTTTGCGCTCTGGAAGGAAAGCCCATTCCAGAAAATTGAGGAGTGTAGAAAGAAAAGCCCATTTTTATGTTACGTATACATGGGCTCAATAAGTGCGGTATCCGTTACCCACTTAACATAAGCAGAACTAATGGGCCCAGTAATATTTCCCTCTCCGTTACAACCTTATAAGGTTTTAGCAAACAAAAATAAAAGGTTTTTTAATACTCCAGGAACATTTACACATCATTAAGACAGGGCCAGTCCAATTTATGTCAGAGCCTAAAGTCAATTTTAGGATGAGATATTTTTAACTTAATTAAATTTATTTATTAAAAACATGGTTAATTTATTCGATGTTTATGTTTAAGGAATTTTAAGATGTAATACTACTTATTAAATTATTACGATCACTTTTTTGACATTTTTTTAAATTGATAAATTTAAGTCTTTAAAAAAAATTATTATATTTAATCTTTGTTTATATATTATTTGTTCTTCTTAACAAATAAATTATATTAATCTTGAATAGCTTATCCATTTTTAAATAACAAGAATTTGGTGGCAATGTTTCATAGACATTATATATATAATAGAATTCAACATTTAGGATGATTAATATCTTTTATTTAATCCAAAATTTACTTATATAAAAAAGGGTGTAAATTTAATTACAATAATAAATACAAAATGAGATAAATATAAAGTGTGTATGGATCATGATAATTAAAATTGGTAATAGGTTCGAAACTCCCTACAAACTTGGATGAATAATGAATTGGTCAAAAATTGGATAAATCAATTAAATATTGGTGAAATCAAACCGATCAAAGAGTCAATTAAGTTTTTTTTACTTGTCTTTTATATATATATATATATATATATATATATATATATATATATATATATATATATATATATTCCTTTAGTTTAATATAAAGACGCAAACATGAAGAGATAAAATATTTTTTTACCCGTGGTGATATTCTTTTTTTCGTTGTTATTGTCACCGCCACTTGGTATCTTTGATTGTATCCTTCCGAGTGTCTCCCTTACTTATTTTGTGATAGGAAAAAACAATACAAGAACATAAAATATCAAAATATGCAGCGGAAATATTTTTCCTAAACTTGCAAGAATCTGAGAGGAGCAACAACAACAGATAATGACAGATATAATCACCGCAGAAAACACAAATATTATATTTTTAGCGTAGGAAAACCTTCTCAATATAAGAAGTAAAAACTCACGGGCACAAGCTAGTCAAACAAGCTCCACTAAGATCAAAATATGAGTACAAGAGAGTCGAATCAAAATACACAAATAAGTGCCTATAAAACAGCCAATATATCAAAGCAACAATGCTCTCAAATACGAATAACAAAGAAAAGAAACTTTAAAATTAGTCACAGTGCAATACTAATATCTCCAAACACAAGCCTCCAATTAATGATCTTAACGGTCAAAATGAAAAACCTTACACTACAAACTTACTGTCAAAATTCCAGCCCGATCCAACGGTGAACTAAGCGGGAATCATAATTTTACTGAGACGGCCTAGTAAAAGAGCAAAATTATTTTCTTTTCTTTTTCTCTTCCAAAGGCTACAAAATGTTCTCTCTGTTCTGACCTAACAGATCTCTCTCCATAGGTTAAGTAAGATAAAATGAGTTTGACTAATTTGGATATTTTTTAACACATAGTTGGGAGGTCAACCCAACATTTTGATGGGTAGACAAGGAATTATCTTTGAATTCTATAACCATGTCTTGAAATAAAATTAAATGTATAAAATTTAAAGTTAGATATGATAGAAGATATGGTACAATTTTTTCACATTTTTTTCCCTAATTATTTTTAAGTTAGTTGTAATTCTTTTTTCCTAATTATTTTCAAGTAAGGTTGAGTGACAATTTTTTTTCTATAATTGCTTTGTATCACTTGATAATATATTTATTCATGTTACATTTTTTTTATGTATTTTACAAATTATTCTTATTATTATATAATATTTTTTTAAATAATATTTATATTAAATTAAAATTATTATTATGTTGTGATAAAAACCATGGTTTATATAATCACATTGTCCCTAACTTTACTTCTTGATAAATTGAAAAAGTGCAAATAACTATTTATTGTTAAATTTGAATCAATTATGCAAGATTTGTATTTTATATTCTTAATTAATATATATTTTTTGTGCATGATAAAATCATCAAGTTACTATATATGTAGAAAGAAATGGGAGGAGGCTCATAAAGTATGAAAAAGTGAGACTCCTCACTTACAATCAATCAAATGTAATTATTAATTAAAAGGTACAAATCAATTAGTTGATCGAACTTCATATAAGATTACGACCAAAACTTGAATCTCTTCCAGAAGAATCTTAATGTGACGCGTGTGTTCCTTACCTCGTACCGTGCTTGCCATAATCACACTTTCCCTTCGTACTTTCCAAGCTTGGTGTAGTGTTTGGTCCAGAAACTTCACCACCCTAGCTTTCCATTGAATGTTATCAATTGTTATCTCTCCATAACAAGTCTTAAACTACAATTGCAATTCAAAATAAAGTGAATCATTTGTAAAAATTATGAGTCCATAAAATTATAAAAAAAATAAAAAAATAAAATTGAGAGGAAAAAGATTATTGTTTATAAGAGGGAGTATCATGTTTCAACTTCCAAAAATAGAAAACTGAAGTAGTGGTACCTTGAAAAAGTCATGTGGATAGGTGCTTTGAATTAGAAACAAGAAATTATTTGACATTGGATTATGCTCAACAATTTATTTGGAAATTGTGTCATTAATTTGTGTTTGTCGCAAGTAATTTATTTATTCATTACTATATGATTAGAAATAGCAAAGGTCCTGTTCGAAGAATAAAAAGGTAGAACTTCAGCTATGTGTGTATAAAGAAACCATAGGTGCTGGTAAATATGAAAAGGAACAAGTGAAGAGTCTATTTATTATTATAATTCCAGCTAAGTAACTGTGTAAAAAAAGTGATTGGAAATAGTCCATTGTGTGATGCTAATAAATGAAAATTGTTATTAAGACATATTTAAGAATAAAAATAAAGAAACAAATATTTAAAATTAAAAAAAATTATTTAAATAAGTAATTTTGACGAAATTTTAAACCATTTAACGGTGAGATTTATAATAAAATATTTAATTTTATTTTTAAATAACTTTGATTAAAAACATCCTTGAGATGCTTAACCTACGTGATTCCTAAATTGATGCATCATTCCAAATTATGATATGAAATTATGAGTCATGACATCTTTGAAAAGGAAACGAATATTAAAGTAACACCTATGCATTGAAAATATGAATATTTGTCATAATAAAATATGAGAAATATATCCGCATACAATGTTATGGAATTGCAGAATACCAAAGTTTTCTTGGAGTCCTTAAAAGATCCGCCACTGGTAGTGTTTACCAAGTTTCCTCCGTGAGGTTTCAGTGGGGATATATATGACATGACTCTTATATTCCACTTTGAAAAACATCCTCAGCAAAAATAAAGGTTATCATGTTTTGGATCATAATTTGTTCCTGTCACTGTATAAATTGGATGAAAAACAATATCAATTTTGCTGTCGGAAAACGTTATGGTAAAGTATTTCCGTCAAACTGTTGTGTTTGTCTATTGTTTCCCACTTATTACGACAAAGTATGTTTAACTTTGATTTCGAGATCTAAGAGGGAGAATTAAATTCAAGTGTTTGTTGAATTGAAAGGAGAATTTAAACTGTTGAAAATTATTTTGGATGGAGTTGAGAAAGGCTTGCCCACGTATTCAATTAGTAATTATGGTTAGCGTCAGACATAGAATTTAAGGTTTAAATTGTTTGGTCGCTACTGAAAGTCAATCATCCCCACACAACGATGATGGTAATTTTTTGGATATTTCTCAACCCCAGGAGGATATGACCGATGACCCCGACCCAGTAATTTATTTTGCTTACGCTTTCGGAATGTTTTCTACGGATAATTTAACCTTTTTGGGCTATACATGGCACGAGAAAATCGACTCACACTAGCAGACATACCTTTTATGGCTGTAGTAGTAGAGAGCATCTAAATCTATCTATCAAATGACACATGCAAGTAAAGTTTTTTTTTTTTTCAGGTATCGCGTATGGAAAAATAAAATCAGAACTTGGTAATCTTTCGTTGTCATTTTAATTATTTGATGGAAGGTCGCATATGTAATTTGTTCTTTACTCTTTGTAAAACAATAGATGAAAGATTCCATGCATGTCTTGCAAGGGGGGGCAGACAGCTAGAGTCCGCGCTACATATTAATCTGCATGTGCAGCTGTTACGATCCATTAAAATGCCACCCTTTGGTGAAGGGGAAATTTTTATATATTTGAAATACTGCGCCCACCCCATATGGAATAATACTGAGTGATGCTAAATTGGAAAAACCTATTTGAAGCTAAAAGAAAGGAAGAAACACAGCACCATATAACCGCCTTGCATTTGGTCTGTTCTTGAGACGATGGTCATGTGTTGTCAACTATTTAAAGCAAAGCCAGTTGCTATACGGTGTAATGGAAAGGGTTATATGTGGAAAGTGTGCTAGTGATTGCTCATTGCTTGCCCATAAGTGTTCTAGAATTGAATGCTGAAAGCTCCTACTTCACATGGTGCGGGCCAAGAAAGTTAGTTGAACGAAAACAAGCCAACTCACTTCTTTTTCCATAATCAGCAACAATCATAATGGGAGCGAAAGAGGCCTCAAAAAAGTACCTAGTGATAGTCCACCTTCCTGCTCAACCTGACATCTCCCACTTTTACTCTTCGGCTTTTAGAGTTACACGACACAATATTGCTTGCCCTCTTTTGAAGAATTGATGGTAGCAGCTTCTTATGGAAAGCTCCCCCAATTTGATTTTATACCATATATGGATATGAGTGTAGGCCCCCTGAGATATTTTACATCACAAGTGTAACTAAGATGCTGGCAGAAGGCACAGTTTCTGTGAAGTGAATAACAAGAAATGGAATCGTGTCAATCAATTAATTAAGCTTCTGTACACTCATTTCATTTTACCTTATCTCAATCAGAGGATACTCAAAGTACCTTTACAATTCCCACATTACTCTAACGTTAATGACTAGTACTAACTAAATAACCAATCAAAATAACTAACATGGTCTAAATCTGAAAATATAGTAATTAACTTTTTTTTTTTCTGAAATAGAAAGAGGCATTAATTTTGAATTCAGGATTGGTTCCTTGGAGGGTGGTAGCCTGCTGCTGAGGAAGAGGAGTAAGCTAGTGAGGAGGAGTTGGAACAAGATTGTAGGAGCAACAACTGAGCAGGGGTGACTGAGGACGAGGAATAGGAGGAAGCTTCAGTTGTTTTGGGTTTGGGCTTGTGGGGCTCAGCACCCGGTGGAGGATCATGACGAATTTCTCTCAATAATGCTGCAACATCTTTCATTGTGGGTCGATCCTCTGCACGATTGCTAGTGCACAAGAGAGCAATACCAAGTGCTTGTAGCATCTCTTGGATTTGTGTGTCTGGATGGCCTTGGAGCTTGGAATCCAGAACCTCGATTGGGTCCTTCTTGCTCTTGAGGTGCTCCCTGACCCACTGAATAACATGTTGCCCATCCGGGAATGATGGATCCACTGGCCGTTTCCCCGTTATTGTCTCCAGTAGGACCACTCCAAAGCTGTACACGTCGCTCTTCTCTGTGATTTTAAGCATGCAAGCATATTCTGCAAGATTCCAACCCAACAAAACATTATACTCTCCACACGGTATCAAGACAGAGAGGTAAGAGACATTTGGTGTCTGTAAAGTAGCTCAATAACGAATAATCAGATTAGGGTGGACGCATTCCGTGTGTGTGACTCGTGATCAACTGGCTTTTCTGCCGGCACCATCATGCCTTTTACTTGTCCGAAGAGAAAGAAAGATTACATGTAATTATTATATGTGCATGCAGGTAATTTGTAACTTTGTGCCGTCAAGTACATGCGATGTACATCTAATCAAACCAAAAAAGCAAAAAATCAAAAAACACGAGCCATAATGAATGGAAGCCTGCAGCATAGATTGCCGTACGGTCCCCATTTACCACTCATACTACCATATGGTCCATCAACACCGTTCATGTGGAAAAGTCCCAATATCACTGACATTTCCAAGTTTCTTATCACATTAATTTTACGGGTATCGTCTAATTAAAACAAAAACTTATTTGACAATTGCCATATGTGATTAAATGAACTTGTTAGCGAGGTCAATGAATAATTAATTACTAAAAAAAAGGAAGAAAAATAATTGACTTACCGGGAGCAATGTAACCGTAGGAGCCTGCGAACTGTGGATTAACGGAAAAGGAAGCGTGATCCTCTTCGACGAAGCGAGCGAAACCAAAATCAGCCAGACAGGGTTCATATCTGTCTCCTAACAAAATGTTCTGCGCCTTGACGTCCCGGTGCAAGATAGCTGGCACGCAATCGTGGTGCAAGTAAGCCACGCCCTCGGCCACGCCCAATGCTATCTTGAGCCTTGTCTCCCAGTCAATTAATCCTGTGCACCCCTCGTGCAACAGAGTGTCCAAGTTACCGTTCGGTAAATAATCGTAAAGCAGTAACTTGCTTCTCCTGTTGGCCCCCCAACCCAGCAGCCGCACGATGTTCCGGTGACGGATTCTCGCCAGCGTCGCAATCTCCGACGAGAAAGCCGCCGCGGAGAATTTCTCCGACAACCTGAACTTCTTCACCGCGATGGCGAGTCCTGTGGCCGGCAAGTCAACCCTATAAACCACGCCGGATCGGCCGTGGCCGATGACATTGCCAGCGGAGAGACATTTCGCTACGTCAGAGATGGACAAATCGAGTTTCTGGTACAGTGTCACTTCCCATGGTGGGGCCATGTCCGCGTCGCTGTCCTTTCCATCTATCTCCACGTCGTTTTCGCGGTCCCCGCGTCGTTTCGCTGCGACCACGACGTACAGCGCCGCCATGAGTAGCACGCACGCGGTGCACAACAGGACCACCATCGCTACGCGCGCTACCCTTGCCCGCCGCCCTGACCTACCACCGCCCTCACCGCTGCACTCGTTGCCGGAAAAGCACAGGGCCGGGTTCCCCGCCAGCACGCTCAACGGCAACTTCGCGAAGAAAGGCGTGTTCGGAACGCGTCCCGAGAATTTGTTATACGAAATGTTGAGCACCACGAGATTTTGCAGACTCGAGAGGTATTGAATGTTTCCACTGAGGGCGTTGTGAGAAATGTCCAGCACTCCGAGCTTCGTCAATCCAGAAAACTCCTGAGGTATCTCGCCGGAGAGCTGGTTTAGGCTTAGATTCAGAGTGATTTCCAGTGCCGGGATATTGCCGATGCTGCCGGGGATTTTGCCGGAGAGATTGTTGCTGCTGAGATCCAGTAATTGTAACTTGGAACAAGAACCAAGTTGACTCGGTATTGGGCCGGAGATTCGATTCTTCGCGAGAACGAGCTTGGAGAGCGCGGTGAGTTCGCCGAGGTTAGGCTTCAGTATACCTTCGATCATGTTATCGGAAACATCGAGAAACTGAAGCGAATCAAGCCGGCTCAAACTTTCCGGTAGGTTTCCGGAGAGGAAGTTGGAATGTATATCAAAAAATGCGAGATTGCGGCAGCCGGAAATCTCCTCCGGAATACTGCCAGAAATCCGATTGTTCCCTAGGTCGAGGAAATTCAAATTGTTGAGATTCCCAATCTGCGAGGGAATGTTCCCAGTGATGTTGTTGTCGTTGGCTCGGAATCGAATTAGGGAGGAACAATTCCTAATTTCAGAGGGGATTTTTCCTGAGAGATTATTGGAGAGTAGCAAGAGCTTGTTGAGATTCTTGAGCTGGAAGATCCCCTTGGGTATTGGACCCGTTAATCCATTCTGCGACAGATCAATAGCCTCGAGATTTTGACAATTGGAAAGTGAAGAAGGAATATTACCTTGCAGCTTGTTGTGCCATAAGAACAAGAGCGTTAGATTCGCAAGGTTTCCCAATTCGGAAGGTATGGTACCCGTGATGAGATTGTTGTCAAGCTCCACATGTGTGAGTTGCTGACACTTCCCCAGTTCACCTGGAATCTCCCCCGAAATCTGGTTGACACTGAGTTGGAGCTCTTGCAATGATGTCAAGTTCCCGAATGTTTTGGGAATGCTTCCGGTCAGTGAGTTTATTGACACGTCAATCACTGACAACTGTTCGCAGTTTCCAATCTCCGGGGGGATGGTGCCAACTAGGTTGTTCTGCCACAGTAGAAGGTTTTCGAGGTTCTTAAGGTTTCCCAACTTGCTTGGTATGGATCCAGTGAGAGAGTTCTCGTAAAGGTAAATGTTTTGGAGCCCTTTGCAGTCCCCTAGTTCAGGTGGTATTTCACCGGAGAGCAAGGAAGTGTAAATGGCAATGGTTTCAAGATTCTTCAGAAGGCCAAGAGTTGGTGGCAGAGAACCTGAGAGGCTTGTTTCAGCAAGGCCCAACATCACTAAACTGGAGCAGTTGCCAATTTCTTGTGGTAAAGTACCCTCCAGGTTCTTGTTTCCTCCTGCTCTTATCACTTGAAGACTCTTAAGGTTGCCGATGGTGGTAGGAACTTCCCCGCTGAGTTGGTTGTCATATAGGATCAGCTTCTGCAACTTTGTGAGGTTCCCAATTGCAACTGGAATGGACCCCATAAGGTTGTTGGAGTTGAGATGGAGTTCCTCGAGTTTAAACAAGTAACATAGGTCAGTTGGGATTTCGCCACTCAAGGCATTATCACTTAAGTCTAAGTAGGTGAGTTCCAGGAGGTAGCCTATTTCTTTTGGAATTGGACCCGTGAGGTTGGTTCCGGTTAAGATCAAACTGCTTAATGAAAGCAATGAGGTGAAATTGCTGGGAAGTCTTCCAAGCAAATCCACATACCTCAGATCCAATTGTACTACTTCGTTCTTCCAGTTGCAACTCACTCCATACCATCTACATGGGGTGTCTTGAACTGGGTCCCAGTTACTCAATACCTCCAGGGACCCGTTCAGGGTTCTCCTCCATGATAGAAGAGCCTCCCCTTGTTGGTTCACTGCAGCAGCTATGAGAAAATGGTATGAAAGTAGAAGGGAAATACACAAGAAGAAGAGGGTCCATGGATTTACAGGCATTACAACTATAAGCTACGAATTCCAATGAAAGAACACGCAGAAAGGTTTGAGCCTAGGGAGGAACAACGGGAAGGAACCAAATCATGTCTTGTGGGTTACTGTGTTTACAAAAAAGAGTTATTATATACAAATTAAAATAACCCAGAATCTCCGGATCCAAGAAACAGCTAGGCCATGATGTTTCTGCAAGGAGAAATGAAATTTAAGATGGTTGTATATAATAAGGATTTGTTTATGTTGAAGTGGAGTGCAGGGGTGGGTGGGTAATAGAAGAATTATAACAGTTTAAAATTTTGAGAATGAGTAACATAACAGAGATGGGATGGTTGGGTGAGTGCCTTTCTTTCTAAATTTTGTTTCAATATCAACTGTTTATCTTTTGATGTGGCCTTGCTTTAAAATAAGCTCTCATTTTCTCTTGGATTTTTTAGTGACATGGATGAGACGACCTGTATCCTGAAAATATGGACGGGCTCATTTTGTCTGCTACGACACATTCTACCCTTGGCCAACTAGTTTTGAGTCTGACTCTCCATTTTGTACTGAAAGGTATATCTAGTTAGATCTAAATATAAGCCTAATCAGATTTAAGAGCTAACCTTTTAGGCTTATGCGATTGATGATCTTATAACATCTTAATGATGGCCCAAAAAACATACGGTTTTCATATGATAACGACAGATTTGATACTCTTTTCTTTAAACAGGAATTACGCTAGTTTTATATGTAACATCATGTTAAAGTAAATATTTCTTATTTCTTAAACTTCTAAATTTCTCACTTTCTTTTCACGTATGAATTTGTTTTCTCAATTCTTACTATAAAACACTTTCAAATTGTTCATTTTTTATTTAATTTTAAGAAGGAAAGTAAAAAAGATAAATTTCATTCCTGCCGGGGGGGAATCTTGAGTTCTATGGCCAACACTGCTAAATAGAACCTACAAGTGCATCACAAATAGTTCTTGTTTTTTCTTTCTTTATTTTGAATAAGCGGCTAACGGTGCATTAATCAGAATAAAACACTTTGCCTTCTTTTGCTACAGGCACATGATGCAGAGTCCGTATTCAATAATTTATATACTAAAATCATCTTTTTTTTCCCTGGTTTTGAAAAACAGTGAAATTTGTAGCAGAACATTGAAAGGAAAATGCAACTTTCGAATAAAGGGTCTGCTATCTGCTGGATCTCAATCAGATTTGAATTTTTATTTGTTTATTTACAATATATTTTTTGTAGTGGACTTGGGTGCTATTCTGCTATACTCTCTTGTGACTCAGATGTTGCTAACCAGTCAAGCATGAATAACTTTGGATCTGAACCATACTTAAAAAAATCAAACCATGGGAAAATTCTCATTCTCATGAATACAAAAACCTGCTCCATTTTGCAAAATTTGTTCATCCATGATGCGATCTATGACACCTTCCATTTGTCCTGAGAATCTCCCATTATTTAAAATCAAACCCATCTCAAATGACAAACATAACCCAATAGCATCGCTCAAAATTTGGCATGCAAGAACCATATATCCATTTCATCTTTAAACTAATTTGAACCCCATTTGTTAATTAAGCCCTAATTCCATCTTCCTTTGTGTTCGACGTATTAAAAAGAAAAAACAGAAGCTGTCACGTGGTGTCGCGTGACAAGAGGGGACTTGTAGTGCAAGAATGAATTGAATTTTGTTATGTGGTTGACACTTGGCGATTCAGTCATATACAGAATTACAGATATACTGCATGCCCTCGTGATGATGCTGGGGATGAAGAATATTATAGTAAAATAATTTGACAAGTGCGTCCATTGGGAATCTAGGCACGAGGTAGATGATGGCAGGAGCACATGAGAGAGAAATGCAGTGGCCAAAAGGGCAAGCCAGCCCTGGCGTACGACAGCTTTATGCAAAATTACACATAAATATATGGTCCCTTCAAGATGTGGATGCCAAAGTCCACATCTTAACATTCATTTTGGTTCTTTTCTTTGTATTATTAACCTCTAACTAGGTTACTCCTTGGTGACTAGTACACCTAATTTTGGTGACACTTGCTTAAAACTCCAACCTCAAAAATTTGGTGATATTTTGTTTTGAGGGTGTGAGGAAATAAATGATTGAGGGGGGCAATGATACAGCTAGCTAAGGTAGGAAGCAAAATGGGGTTCCATTTATTGCACTAAGAATAAGCAGTAAGTGGGTTTGATTCTGTTGTCGCCCACGGATGGGACCTTTCTCAACTGCTTGCTTTTTGGCTTGGCACCTAAATCTCCCACACTCTTCTACCTCCCCATACCATATCATCACTCACTCCTTCTCACACTTCCTTAATTCCTCTATCTGTTTCACTTTTATCCCCCACAATAAACTTCCTTTCCTTATCTTCCTTTCAGGTTACATTTTATTGTAAAATTAACTACTTTTAATTTCTATTTTCATTCCAATAGATTTTGAAATCACAGTTTCTACTTTTTATAAAATATATTAATCTTGATTTTACTATATGTTAAATATTTTGTTTATCTGTTCAAAGTTTTAAACCACTATTTTTAATCTCTCATTATAATTTTAAGATCAATGACTATTATTTATTTTCCAGATCTTAATACTTTTTTTTTAAATCACTTATTTACATAATATTACAACACTATTATCCATAACCTAAAATAGACATTTAATATTTTGTTGAACGCATAAAAAATTAATTTTTATCACGTTATCAGATGAAAAGTTGTAATTTATAATTTTAAAGAGAAAATTTATGGAGACCCTAAACTTAAAATTCACTCATTTTAAATAGGCTTAGAACATATTTATACTAAAAAATCAATATTGTTATTTATTAAAAATAAAGAATATTTGTTATATTGTCATATATATATATATATATAATTTGATCCTATTGTCTTTTAGAGGGGTTTTATTGTATGCATGTGTACGTCCACGTAATTTGTGGATGTGGTATCCTTTTCCATTTAAAGGTAGCAAGCACTTATAGTCACTTTGCTTTTGTTGTTTTACGACGCCTTCAATATATATTTGGTTCTTTTATCTTTTTCGAAATTTGTTAGATTCCATTTCCGTGAAGAACCACATAGTGCAAGTCCATTAAACAAAACAAAAAATCTAGAAGAAAAGAGAGATGTTGAATAAGGGTATATATATTATTGGTGTTCATAAAACAATGATAATCAAGATTTTTTTTTTTTTTTTGGTCTGTTATGGATGTAAGGTAGATAAGAGATGAGTTAAGACAAACTTAAGGTACATATATTTGAAAAATAATATAGAAAGTTGAATTTGTATTTGGTTATACTTACCATCAATCAAAAAAGTTGAAATATATATAGACTTGATCTAACCATAACCAATATATTTTGGAGAAAAATGTCTTATGCGAATGTATGACACTGAATCTAATCGAAAACTGGAAGTAGTGATGTGAAAGTGGCGAAACACTTCTCACACACATTGGCGGCAGGGTTAATGTAAAGAGCAATCATTTCAATAGCATTTAGAATGAGAATGATCAGTTTGGGTTTCACGATTTGAAAAATTTTAATAACCTTATTTGTCTCAAAGCCATCACAAGATCAGGAGAAATTTGGTTAAAAACTCATTGATTGTGCATTGCCATATTCAATGTCACCCTGACAAATCAACGTAAAAATGTATGGTTAACGACGAAAGAAGCTTTGTACTCAATTTTATAGCAACCAATATGAAATATTTTCTGTATTAGTGTACTCTTATAACCTTGAGGAGATTTTTCATCAACCTTATAAAAATCAATTAACAGAGTTTCCTTTGACATTTTCTAAAAATAATAAAAACTAAATTCTAGATATTTGTTGTGTCGTATATAAAACATTTGAAAAAATAAATGGGATTTGTCTTCCAAGTTCAGCAACTTGGGAATAAGGAGAGAGAGAGGGAGAAATGACGGGTGATAAAATTATAATTTTCAAGTTTTTCCAAATCTGGGTTGTAGTTAAAATAAAGAGGGGTTTTAAATTTTCCAAAAGAGGTGTCCATGGATTTTATTTTATTTTTTTCCAAAGCTGAAAATACACAATGCAATTTATGTTTTTTGACTGATATTATCTTCCATTTTGGTTCTACATGTGTTGGGTGTTCATCTAGAGAACAAATCAAGATGTTAGAATGGAGATAGTTTAGGACAATAATTGAGTCTTCAAACTTTAAACCAGAAGGGGGAAGATCGAATGAATGAATGAATGGTGTATATCCCAAATTAACTCACTCAGCTCCGAGCTATAGCTAGTAGAATAGTAGGAGTAATATTTTATGAAAATTATTCTCATAACTTAGTCCTTTATGAAAGCCATTTAATCTTTAATGGATTTCCCTCTCTTTTGTTATGCTTATAAAATGGCAGGGTCTGTCCCAGTTTGCTTTCAATTCCTGGTTTTTATGTTCTTCTCTTCCTTCAAGATCCATGACTTAATGTATCAACCTTTTCTTCTTTCGGCTGTAAAGTATTAAGTGGATCATTAATAAACTAAAATATTGACCGGACAAAAAGAATTTCTACAAAATGAATTTTTTTATGCCAGACCTGCACTGCACCCATTTGAAGGGAGACTCTTCCTTCCTTCAGAATATATTGTATGAGTTCTGGGAACGTAACCTTGGTCAAAGACTACGGAACCCTAATAAAAAAAATTATATTTAATGATATCTTATTATAATAATTATAAGATTATTGTGATGATAATTTTATAATATTTGAATATTTATTATGTCCAATTATTAAGAGAACCAATATAATAAATTATTCAGTTATAATTAAAATTAATATAATAAATATGTAGTGAATTATTAGTAATATTTGATCTAAAATATTTATTATGTTAGTTTAATTTATATTTAATATAGGAAGTGATTTATTATGTATGTTATTTTATAATTGAAATAGTGAACATTTAAAGTAAAAAAATTAAAGTTGATTTTTTTTCTTCTTCTAATAAGATTCTTAATGTTTTACTTTGTCCATTCTTTCTTTGTTATGATCGTCATCATTCTTTCTTTGTTATCATCGTCTTGTGTTTAAGTTCTTAGTTTCCTTTACGTTCTATTCTCTTCCTATCATCTATTTTTTCAATAATAATAAATTTTATTTTCAATTTTACAGTGAAGATTAATATTAAATATAAAAATAAAAATATTTCAATTTTATATTTTTATCAATTATTTGTCTATTTGTTGATTATAAAATTTTAATCCATCACTGTTTTATTTTTAAAATGTTTTATTTTCAAAATGGATATCACTATATTCATAATAAATTTATAAATTATATTTAATATTTATTTAATCTATGCGTGACTCACAGAAATATCATAATAATATAGAAACCCTGTTCATGCGTAAGTCATTAGTAGTTTTTTTTTAACTTACTTTCAAGGATGAACGTGGCAAGATAAGGTGGGTTATGTTACTCAAAAAATATTTATCAAAAAATTTATTTTAAAATAAATATTTTTAAAAATAATTATAACATAATAATAATAATAATAATATTTATAATATATTAAATTTATTATATAAATTTTTTAAAATATAATATATTAAATTATAATATTTATAAATAATTAAATTATTATTATTATTATTATTTAAAAATAATAAAATATTTATTTAATTAAAAATTAATAAATATTTTTAATAAAAAAGAATAAAATAGAGTGAAAGGTGAACTTAATAAAAAAAATTGATGTTACGATAATTGATGGGAATATATATATCTAGAGAAAGATATAACCCTTATCCCAGTTAGCAATACTAGGTTAGTAGTAGTACTACCTAATACTTTCGCACTTCTCGAAAAAGTGTAAGTGGCAACGCAACGGGGAACTTGTCTGAAGAAGTATCCCCACACACATGGCCTTTACACTTTCATATTATAGAATTATTTTAAGATTTTTCTATATATATAAAAAAAAATCTTAGAAATATTATAACTTTATATGAAAGCATGTTGATAATTTATAGAGGTTTCATTTCATTCATATGGTGATCAATCATTATCAGGCAATATTGGTGTAAGGCAAAAAAAATAGAAATTAGAAATAGAAAAGAGTATTGCACAAGCAACAACGTGCAGAAGGAAGATGGTGATTGCTGAGTCAAATTCAATGTAATATTTCTGAAAAATGATCCACAAAGTTTAAGATTGAGACTAAAATATGGTGAATCATTTATACTTGTATCTGCAGGAAGCATGTAGTTATTGATTTCAAGAACATGGTTTGGTTTATTACACTTTTATCAACTAATGAATTACTATCCTTCCAAATGCTGGTTCAATTGGCTGCAGTTTCTGACGCATGCCAAGTTTTGCATTACTGAATGTATTATTAAAAAGTTGGATTAAAGGAGTATTTTGGTAATAAAAACATAGAACAAAGAATGGAGTATACTCATTAATAGGGAGGGTGTAAATACTAAAAGCTTACTTTGTGGTTATACTTGTCTCGCTACTATTTAACTCTGTATGGGCTTGGGCTCACATTTTGGAAGCAGATGTTATCTATTGCAATGTCGGGCTTCATGTCGATTCTCAAATAGCAACATATTGGTTTATTCACGAAGATGCAAGTAAAACGAATGATATAAAACTTATGAAACATTAGTGGTGGCTTGAGAACAATCTGTCTCATACTAGACTTAGGATGTAGAAGTCAATCAACCTCCTCGGGGTTCATTATGGATTGGTTTGGGTTAAAAGTGAGTCATGATTCATATTTTAGTGAATAAAATATTTTATAATTTCATTTCATCCATCACAGGTTAACAAATTATGTGAATAAATTTATTTAAATATGTATTTTTTAATTACTTTTTATCTTTTTTAAATTAGGTAAATTAACTTTTTAATATAAATAAGTTGGTGAGTTGGATTGATAACACTTGAATATGTGTTTTTAAATTAAATTTTTATCTTTTTAAATTAGATAATTTACTTTTTAATATAAATGAGTTGATGAGTTGTTTTGTTATTTTTTTCGTGAATTTGAAAAAAAAAAAGTCAATCCACCACTAATTTAACTCGTACTCATTTAACTTGGCTTACTTTAATTCACTATTAAAAAATTTTATATTTTTTTAACTTAATCCGTGATAATTCATAGACAAATAATGTAATAAAATTATATAAATAATTATAAAGTTTCTAGGAATTAAATGAGGCCTTCACGTCTTCTTTCTCTTAACATATATATAATTTAACTTTAAATATTTATTTATAACCTCTAACATTTTTTAACACCGATACAATTATG